GTAATGCCCACGCTGCACTCAACAAATAATAACATACGGTCCGTTAAATTTTGATTTGAAGCTTTCGTGACTGCAGGGATTCATATTTTTGGTCCTTTCGGTAAAGTCACGTGGAAGGGAAACAGTAAAATAATAAAAATATAAAACAATAAAATTCTCACGACGTTTCGAAAGCGGTCCGAGACATGTCGTTTGGTTTCTCCAATATAACTACTACCACAGAGGCAACTTAGTTTGTAGACGCCAGGGTACTATATGTCCGGAATCACATCTTTTACAGACGGAACCAGATCACGGATTTTATGTAATGTGTTGAATCGGACCTGGATCTTGTGTTTGTTCAAGATTTTGGAGATCTTTTTTGTGATCCCCGCAATGTAGGGTAAAGTGATGGTTTTGAAAGGACCGCATTCGTGAACACAAAGCAGACCTAAAACACGGTAGGACCAACACCTCGGCCGTGGCAGATCACTGTAATAATTCAGTAGGCTCACATGACATTGACTTCTCCAAGGCAGAGGTTCTTTGCAAGCCATCTGGCTACCATGAGACATTCGTTCATGAGGCTATCCACATATACAAACACAGAGACAATTTCAACCGAGAAGATGGATTCTGGCTTAGCAATCATTGGAAGGATTTGATAAACCATTTCGCGTCTTAATTGATTGATCACGCTTACGGTGGCTTTCATACCGCATCCATTATTTTTCGTCTCCCCCCTCCTCTTTTCCGAACATAGATGGACTCGTCCATTTGAATGACTGCCAAATCGCTCTCCGTGGTGCTAACGTTAAAAAAACCCGCCACTTTTTAAAAATTTTCTTGCCGTGGTTTTCACACCTGATGATGATGATTGCTTGTGTTGCAGTCGAAACGTCGTGAGAATTTTATTGTTTTATATTTTTATTATTTTATTGTTTCCCTTCTACGTGACTTTACCGAAAGAACCAAGAATATACGGTCCGTTGTCGATCCACTGCTGGACGTAGGCCTTCCTATGTCGCCCATGTAGGCATTGTTCAACGCATACCTCACCAATGCTGTTGAGTGCAGCTCAGCCAACTGATGTTCGCCGTGAACGGAAATCGAACTCAGGTAGGCCGGGTTGGAGCGCGGCCGTTGACGGTTACCTCCCCTCTCCCCATCGTGCCACTTATATTTTATATTTGACCAGGTAAGGCTCACTGAGCTACATAGCTCTTAGTCAGCTGCGACCTTGCTACCACAAATGACGGCTCAACTTAGTGACTCATCGTGCGGATATTTACAGCAGCCGCCAAAAACTCCGAACGCGTGCACGTTGATTCTAAACGTGGAGGGGAAGAACCGGAGGACCCCGGAAAAAGAATTGCACGCGAATCACCGGGAGAGTGAACACGCAAACTCCAAATATACAAACATACAGCGGCAGGCGGTACCAGGCGAGGTCGTTAACGTCTCCTAGCCACCGTGGCGCCCATTCATCATCACCACCGCGAGGTTTCCATCGTAAGGCAGGCGAGTCGTGGGATGGGGGAGGGAAGGGTGACGATGACGGGGTAAGGAGTGATGAGTATTTACAAACTGGAGGAATTTGGATAAGCTACAAAGCGACGTGGTAATCGCTATTGATAGCTCCGTGAAGAGCGCCGTCACACCCCAAATGCCGAGACCTTTAAATTAATAAATTCCCTGTGCGGATGGATGGATCGCTTACATCGTGCCGTGCCCTGAGGGCGATTACGCAACGCGGTGTTGGTATCGCGCGCGATGCGGCCCTCCGTTCGTCCAGTGCCGAGCGAGGAACGCCACCCCGAGTCGCCACCGGTGTCAGCCGTGGCCGGGAGTCGAACTCAGGAGGCCACCGCTTGCGTGCAGCACAGAGCCACAAACGCCCAGCACCGCCTTTGTCTCCCCAATCGCCGATGTGTTCACGGCACCGCATGCTCGTCTCAGGCCGAGTTAATCTAAGGGGGGAGTGGGGGGGGAGGAGGCACAGGCCCGCAGTCGGGAATGGTAATCGACTGAAGGGTTCATATAATGCCGTGGGGCTAACTGCAGCGCCACCGCTCCTCCCACCTTGTACTTACATAAGCGCTGTTGTGTTCGATGGAGACATGAACTGCCTAATAATAATAATCATCATCATCATCACCGTCACCAGCATGACTCAGTCCGTCAACCCCCCGGGGTCAATCCAATGACAGTCTCTGGTCGCACGTGATGGTGGCAGCTGCAAACGAGTTCAGAGACAATGAGTTCAGGAACGAGTTGGACGAGTTAATTACAGCAGCGATGAGTCTGGATGAGTTAATTGGAGCAGCGATGAGTTTGGATGAGTTAATTGGAGCAGCGATGAGTTTGGATGAGTTAATTGGAGCAGCGATGAGTTTGGATGAGTTAATTGCAGCAGCGATGAGTCTGGATGAGTTAATTGAAGCAGCGATGAGTCTGGATGAGTTAATTGGAGCAGCGATGAGTCTGGATGAGTTAATTACAGCAGCAATGAGTCTGGATGAGTTAATTGGAGCAGCGATGAGTCTGGATGAGTTAATTGGAGCAGCAATGAGTTTGGATGAGTTAATTGGAGCAGTGATGAGTCTGGACGAGTTAATTGGAGCAGCAATGAGTTTGGATGAGTTAATTGGAGCAGCGATGAGTCTGGATGAGTTAATTGGAGCAGCGATGAGTTTGGATGAGTTAATTGGTGCAGCGATGAGTCTGGATGAGTTAATTGGAGCAGCGATGAGTCTGGATGAGTTAATTGGAGCAGCGATGAGTCTGGATGAGTTAATTGGAGCAGCGATGAGTCTGGATGAGTTAATTGGAGCAGCGATGAGTCTGGATGAGTTAATTGGAGCAGCGATGAGTCTGGATGAGTTAATTGAAGCAGCAATGAGTTTGGATGAGTTAATTGGAGCAGCGATGAGTCTGGATGAGTTAATTACAGCAGCGATGAGTCTGGATGAGTTAATTGGAGCAGTGATGAGTCTGGATGAGTTAATTGGAGCAGCGATGAGTCTGGATGAGTTAATTGAAGCAGCGATGAGTTTGGATGAGTTAATTACAGCAGCAATGAGTCTGGATGAGTTAATTGGAGCAGCGATGAGTCTGGATGAGTTAATTGGAGCAGCGATGAGTCTGTATGAGTTAATTGGAGCAGTGATGAGTCTGGATGAGTTAATTGGAGCAGTGATGAGTTTGGACGAGTTAATTGCAGCAGCGATGAGTCTGGATGAGTTAATTGGAGCAGCAATGAGTCTGGATGAGTTAATTGGAGCAGCGATGAGTCTGGATGAGTTAATTGGTGCAGCGATGAGTCTGGATGAGTTAATTGCAGCAGCGATGAGTCTGGATGAGTTAATTGGAGCAGCAATGAGTTTCGATGAGTTAATTGGAGCAGCGATGAGTCTGGATGAGTTAATTGGAGCAGCGATGAGTCTGGATGAGTTAATTGCAGCAGCAATGAGATCGGGAGGGCGATGCTCAATGTCGAGGTCGTGCTGCTGACCACGACGAGAGGGCTTCATCGCAGAGAGAGTTCGTGTCGTGTTGCTGTTCCTCCTCCGTTGAAGCAGCGCAGAACACATTTGGTTTACTGTACGGTCTTTATGGATGTCTATGTAACTCTGAGTCTTTATTGGGTCTCTATGGATCTCTATGTAACTCTATGCGTCTCTATTGGGTCTCTATGTATCTCTATGTAACTCTATGAGTCTCTATCGGGTCTCTATGGATCTCTATGTAACTCTATGAGTCTCTATTGGGTCTCTATGTATCTCTATGTACCAGCCGTGAATTGGCAAAATTATTCATTTTTTTATTTTATTATGTTTTATTTTTTAAATTATTTCATGATTTCCCTTCTACGTGACTTTACCGAAAGAGCTAAGTAGAAGAAAAATGATTCATGTTTTTTTCTGATTAACTTTCGTGTTTAGGAGACATCGATGTCGACTTGTCCCGAGACAGTGCGTTGCTACGTTAAAGTTGTTGAAATAAAATCTACATTCAAACGTTAGCGTGTGTTCTGTTAGTATATTGAACTTCTTTCACACCGTACGCAGCCAACAACCCTGCTAATCGGAGGTGCGGGGTGGAAGAACGCAAAACTAAACACAAAAACGGTCCTAAAGAAATGCGTTTTCGATGTCGATGATGTGAAAGCGCACAGCTCCGATGGCTTCCTAATATCGGCAGGAAGAGCGTTCCAGACGGCCGCAGAAGCGCGTCTGGAAGGGCGCGATGGAGTGACCGTCTTCTTTGTTTGCTGGTTCCGAGGATGACCGGAGCTTGCGTGATGGTTTATGGTCACCGACGAGATCAGCGAGGTATTGTAAACAATTTGTGTGTAATGATTGCGACCCTATAATGTATTCATTGGTATCTATACAAATAGACTCTATAGGAGTATAGACTCTTCGTGTATCTCTATGGGTATACATTGGTCTCTACGAATCTGTAGGTGACTCTATGTACGTGTATGTCTCTCTACCGGTCTCTATGAATCCCTGTGTAAACCTGTGGGTCTCTTTTTATTTATATGGGTCCCTATGTCTCTTTAAGTGTACCTATGTGTCTCTATGCATCTCTGTGGGTCTCTATGTAACCCTATGAGTCTCTTTGGGTCTCTTTAAATCTTTATGTATATCTACGTATCCCTTTGGGTCTCTGTGTATCTTTATGTGTCTCTACGTGTCTCTGTGCACCTCTATGGGTCTCTATGTAATCCTATGAGTCTCTATGGGTCTCTATACATATCTATGTATCCTTGTGGGTCTCTCTCCTTACGTGTCTCTATGCATCTCTATGAGTCTCTATGCAACCCTATGAGTCACTATGAATCTATATATATCGTTACGTGCCCCTGTGGGTCTCTATGAGTCTTCGTGCGTCTCGGCGTATCTCGATGGATCTCTATGACTCGTTATCTTCCAGGGCCGTTCCTTCTCATCGCAGCTCCGCCCCCTGCGCCTCGCCCCGCCCCCTGCTCCCCGCCCCCTCCCTTCACCGAACGGACAAAAGCGTGAGCCGCCCCTCGACTCTGCATCGACTTCACCGAGCGAGGAAGCGGCAGCGGCAGCAGGAGGAGGAGGGGCTCAGGTGAACTCACCAACTACGTAGCAGGCGACACAACGCTCGGCAGAGACACACCGGGTGAGTTTTGAGATCTCCAGAGACACACCGGGTGAGTTTTGAGATTGCCAGAGACACACCGGGTGAGTTTTGAGATTGCCAGAGACACACCGGGTGAGTTTTGAGATTGCCAGAGACACACCGGGTGAGTTTTGAGATTGCCAGAGACACACCGGGTGAGTTTTGAGATCTCCAGAGACACACCGGGTGAGTTTTGAGATTGCCAGAGACGCACTGGGTGAGTTTTGAGATCTCCAGAGACACACCGGGTGAGTTTTGAGATTGCCAGAGACACACCGGGTGAGTTTTGAGATTGCCAGAGACACCGGGTGAGTTTTGAGATTGCCAGAGACGCACCGGGTGAGTTTTGAGATTGCCAGAGACACACCGGGTAAGTTTTGAGATTGCCAGAGACACACCGGGTGAGTTTTGAGATTGCCAGAGACACACTGGGTGAGTTTTGAGATTGCCAGAGACACACCGGGTGAGTTTTGAGATCTCCAGAGACACACCGGGTGAGTTTTGAGATCTCCAGAGACACACCGGGTGAGTTTTGAGATTGCCAGAGACACACCGGGTGAGTTTTGAGATTGCCAGAGACACACCGGGTGAGTTTTGAGATTGCCAGAGACACACCGGGTGAGTTTTGAGATTGCCAGAGACACACCGGGTGAGTTTTGAGATCTCCAGAGACACACCGGGTGAGTTTTGAGATTGCCAGAGACGCACTGGGTGAGTTTTGAGATCTCCAGAGACACACCGGGTGAGTTTTGAGATTGCCAGAGACACACCGGGTGAGTTTTGAGATTGCCAGAGACACCGGGTGAGTTTTGAGATTGCCAGAGACGCACCGGGTGAGTTTTGAGATTGCCAGAGACACACCGGGTAAGTTTTGAGATTGCCAGAGGCACACCGGGTGAGTTGGTGGTGAGACGTCATCTGCCTCGTCTCCTGTGCAGCAAAGAGGTCGATCCCGACCCTGACGATGCCTGCTTGTATATTTGGAGTTCCGCGTGTTCACTCTTTCCGTGGTCTCGTGGATTTTCCTCCGGGTCCTTCGGGTTTTCTCCGCCACATTTGCAATCAACATCACGCGTTTGTTGTATTTGGCAGCTGCTGTGAATTCCCACGTGACGATAACCCACTTGGTCGAGCTATCATTTGTGGCCAGGTCGCTTCTTAGAAAACAAGATGTACTAGCTCAGCGTGCCTTACCTGGTAAAACAAAACGTAGTTTAGTTTAGAATTTGAGAGACACGTGGAGTGAGACTTGAAAAAAACCGTAATGAGACAATCGCCCGCCTCCTTTCCATATGTTGAAATAAAACGAACGTGTATTTTTTCTTACACACATCCCATTAGCCACACGGCCTTTTGGAAGTCCGTAATAATTATTGTTTTGTTAATCAGCGACATTGGTTTAAAGAGGAGGAAGCTCCCGGACCGGTTTCGGTGTCTCATCAGCAGGGAGAGGAGGCAAATCTGTGAAGGAGGGCGAATTGTGATTATGGAATCTCCTTCCTCGGTACATTCGGCATTCTGAGTCTGTATCACGTTTTAAATAACTGTCCTAAAACTCACCCAATCTCACAGCAGGCTTTCTCCGTAACGTAAGATAAAAAAAAAACTATTTCATTTGTCTCACTGGATATCTCTGTAAATATTATTCGCCTTTATCATAGTTCTTCATTTTATTGCCATGTCGAGTGTAGTTTTTCATATTTTTGTCCCCATCAGCTTTCTATGTCGCTTAGATGGTACCCATACTTGGTTTAACACGTAGGCTTTCGCGACCAATATTATCGATAATTTAGGGGGATCTTTGGTTGTAGATCGAGTAAATATACATGTGTCGTTAAACTCGCCACCACCCGACACAGTCAATTGGTAAGGTTTGTCACGTCAAAGAGATGTGCCAATTAGTCACTGCTCTAGCCAATTAGTTACTACCGGACATGTGGAAAAAGAGCTTTATAGCTCATAGGATTCCTCCAGTATGAATACATGTTTGGATTTTTGCGTTGGAGAGTAAACGTCGAGCGAAGCCATTTCGTCGGCGATTATTACAACCAGCTTGATCAGGCGATTAGCCAGGATTGTGACGTCTTGCCGTTTCGCTCTTTAAAACCTTTATCATGGGTGTGTATACTTGTGAGCGTAGTTTCATATTTACGTACAGCCCTTCGAGATGCTTCAATGTGAAAGGCGCTTTATAAAATCGAATGCCGCTATTGTGATTGTGCTGTGCTCCAGGAGTTTTGTGTCGCTTTCGGAGCCGCGGATGGGGCCTTGACTGAATGTTTGGTTTTGGTAGAGAGTGACCTCACATCGGCCGGATGTTATGAGAGACCGGGAGAGATTGACTCGGATGAGACAAGCATAGGGCATGATTTGAAACAGCATAGATATATTTAGACGATTTATACTGGAGAAATTTGATGAGCTATGAAGCTCTTTCTCAAAAATGTATAGATATATTTAGACTATTTATACTGGAGAAATTTGATGAGCTATGAAGCTCTTTCTCACAGATGTCCAGAAGGGGCACGGGGTAACGGGGCAGAACGTGATAGCCACAAACAGTGCAAAGTATAGGAAAGGCAAATCACTTAAAAAATATATGCAAATAAAACTGAGCACTTTTTTGTTTGTTAATCTTACCAGCTCAAGCCCGCTGAGCTACATAGCTTTTTTTTTTCTTTCCAGAATCGACCTGGCCACGAATGATAGCTCAACGAAGTGGCTTATCATCACGTGGGATTCGAGCAATTAGGACCCCCCACCCCCGTCTTAATCCCCCCTCTCCATCATTCCCGAGAGGGTTAAGGAAGTGGACACCAGGGATGTAGAGTTTTTTGAAACGCATGGCAGAGACAGGTGGTTCAAAATACAAAACGGTGGTAATATCCATCGTGTTTCGCGTTGTGTCTATACTGGTGTCACTTCCCATAGGTGCCCTCTGTGTGCGTGTGTGTGCCTGAATCGGCTGTTCAGTAAAAATGCTTTTGGGAAAAAAATATATGAAGTGTGTATATATATAGGTTTTATCGTCACTTGCTGCACACAGATCCAAAGGGAGATAAGGGGTGGTATGCCAAACGGCCAGCAAAAAACAGCACAGATTGAAATCACGTACGATTGATGTTGGTTGAGATTGGTGTGGTTGTGAGTGTAATATCGGGGAATATGATGATTGTTAGAGATGCATATTGGGTCCGTCTAATATCGGCCGAGAGTAATTGTGTAAGATTGAGATCGGGTGTGGGATCGGGTGAGTGTGAGTTCAGGTGGGTGTGAGGTCGGTGAGTGTGAGATCGGTGAGTGTGAGATCGGTGAGTGTGAGGTTGGTGAGTGTGAGGTTGGTGAGTGTGAGATCGGTGAGTGTGAGGTTGGTGAGTGTGAGGTTGGTGAGTGTGAGGTCGGTGAGTGTGAGGTCGGTGAGTGTGAGGTGGGTGAGTGTGAGGTTGGTGAGTGTGAGGTTGGTGAGTGTGAGGTTGGTGAGTGTGAGGTTGGTGAGTGTGAGGTTGGTGAGTGTGAGGTTGGTGAGTGTGAGATCGGTGAGTGTGAGGTTGGTGAGTGTGAGATCGGTGAGTGTGAGGTTGGTGAGTGTGAGGTTGGGTGAGTGTGAGGTTGGTGAGTGTGAGGTTGGTGAGTGTGAGGTTGGTGAGTGTGAGGTTGGTGAGTGTGAGGTTGGTGAGTGTGAGGTTGGTGAGTGTGAGGTTGGGTGAGTGTGAGGTTGGTGAGTGTGAGGTTGGTGAGGTTGGTGAGTGTGAGGTTGGTGAGTGTGAGGTTGGGTGAGTGTGAGGTTGGTGAGTGTGAGGTTGGTGAGTGTGAGGTCGGTGAGTGTGAGGTTGGTGAGTGTGAGGTTGGGTGAGTGTGAGGTTGGTGAGTGTGAGGTTGGTGAGTGTGAGGTTGGTGAGGTTGGTGAGTGTGAGGTTGGTGAGTGTGAGGTTGGTGAGTGTGAGGTTGGTGAGTGTGAGGTTGGTGAGTGTGAGATCGGTGAGTGTGAGGTTGGTGAGTGTGAGGTTGGGTGAGTGTGAGGTTGGTGAGTGTGAGGTTGGTGAGTGTGAGGTCGGTGAGTGTGAGGTTGGTGAGTGTGAGGTTGGTGAGTGTGAGGTTGGTGAGTGTGAGGTTGGTGAGTGTGAGGTTGGGTGAGTGTGAGGTTGGGTGAGTGTGAGGTTGGTGAGTGTGAGATCGGTGAGTGTGAGGTCGGTGAGTGTGAGGTTGGTGAGTGTGAGGTTGGTGAGTGTGAGGTTGGTGAGTGTGAGGTTGGTGAGTGTGAGGTTGGTGAGTGTGAGGTTGGTGAGTGTGAGGTTGGTGAGTGTGAGGTTGGTGAGTGTGAGGTTGGTGAGTGTGAGGTTGGTGAGTGTGAGGTTGGTGAGTGTGAGGTTGGGTGAGTGTGAGGTTGGTGAGTGTGAGGTTGGTGAGTGTGAGGTTGGTGAGTGTGAGGTTGGTGAGTGTGAGGTTGGTGAGTGTGAGGTTGGTGAGTGTGAGGTTGGTGAGTGTGAGGTTGGTGAGTGTGAGGTTGGGTGAGTGTGAGGTTGGTGAGTGTGAGGTTGGTGAGTGTGAGGTCGGTGAGTGTGAGATCGGTGAGTGTGAGGTTGGTGAGTGTGAGATCGGTGAGTGTGAGATCGGTGAGTGTGAGGTTGGTGAGTGTGAGGTTGGTGAGTGTGAGATCGGTGAGTGTGAGGTCGGTGAGTGTGAGGTTGGTGAGTGTGAGGTTGGTGAGTGTGAGGTTGGTGAGTGTGAGGTTGGTGAGTGTGAGGTTGGTGAGTGTGAGGTTGGTGAGTGTGAGGTTGGTGAGTGTGAGGTTGGTGAGTGTGAGGTTGGTGAGTGTGAGGTTGGTGAGTGTGAGGTTGGTGAGTGTGAGGTTGGTGAGTGTGAGGTTGGTGAGTGTGAGGTTGGTGAGTGTGAGATCGGTGAGTGTGAGGTTGGTGAGTGTGAGGTTGGGTGAGTGTGAGGTTGGTGAGTGTGAGGTTGGTGAGTGTGAGGTTGGTGAGTGTGAGGTTGGTGAGTGTGAGGTTGGTGAGTGTGAGGTTGGTGAGTGTGAGGTTGGTGAGTGTGAGGTCGGTGAGTGTGAGATCGGTGAGTGTGAGATTGGTGAGTGTGAGGTTGGTGAGTGTGAGGTTGGTGAGTGTGAGGTTGGTGAGTGTGAGATCGGTGAGTGTGAGATCGGGTGACTGTAAGGAATCATCTTTGTGCCACAAAGATGATTCCTTACACAACTTAACAATTTTATCGAACTTTTACATTTTAAATGTCAAACCCAGCAGCGTGATTGGCGTGACAATGTCCTGCGCACTAATTATATCCCCAGCATCAATCGCGGGCTCACTTGGCGTGCTGGTTTGGGCGGCTTGTATCGCTTCTCAGTCGGGGTGAGTCACCCTGACTGGAGTGAATATATTTGTAAACTTACGTGTATATTTGTATATCGTAACAGCTCAGGAATGTGGGTGTGGACCATTTACAGCGAATGTTTGATAGGGCGCGGGTATTTTTTTACCTTTGGCCACGTGCGTGTGACGTAACGCGCACTGCGTGTGACGCATCGCGCACGTGACGCAACGTGCACTGCGTGTAAGGGTCGGGAGGAGCGGTGGCGCAGCGGTTAGCGCCGCCTGTCCACCTAGCGGTAAGTTACGTGTGGTAAAGTATGTATGTTGAACTTCTTTCACACCGTACGTAGCCAACCGTGCTAAGCTATATATTTTTTTTTATTTTAGCAGGTAAGGCCCTGGCTATCACTAATGGCAGCTCGGCGAAGTGGCCTGCCATCGTGTGGACACGTATAGCGTACTCTTTGGTTCTATTCGGTAAAGTCACGTAGGTAACAAAAATTAAACAACAAAAATCACGACGTTTCGGCCACAACACAAGTGGCCTTCATCAGGTGAAGGGACCGTACTGTCACGAGGAGAGCGTTGGAATGATGACAGTCAGGCCCAGGTCGCGTCCTTTAAGCTTGTGGTCGCGGCGAAACGTCGTGATTTGTGTCGTTTTATTTTTCGGCCACGTGATTTTACCGAATAGAACCAAAGAGTAGTGATGGATCCTTGCAGTCACGAAAGCTTCAAATCTAGCACATGTACAGCAGTCAAATACTGTACCCTAAATGCATGATATTGACCCTGAAAAACAATTGATGCGACCATGGGGAGAGAGACATAGACATGCAAACTCTAAATATACAGCGTGCGTCAGGGTCGGGGTCGAATCCACAACCTCCTGCATACCCGGCGAGGTAGTTAACATCTCCCCACCGCTGCGCACGACTGCCGTGCGGCTGTGAACAATAACCCCGGCACGAATCGGAGAATGAAATATGCGTTGCGATCTCGTTACGCAACGGCTTCCACATTTTCGACACCGGTGACTCCTTAGAGCGTCCAGTGCCGCTCCCGGATTGCAAAACTTTGCTTTACCACCCCCCCCCCTCTCTTCCAACCTTATTACTCAGCCACCCCACCCACTCGCGCAATCAAACAATCATCCACTCGCGCCATCAAAGACAAGGATTCCCCCCCCCCCCCCCCCCCCCTAGGCCATTAACAGAGTGCCGAGTAGACAGAGCAAACAGACCCTATGACGGACGGCTGCTGGCACGGCACACGATTTGTGTTGACGGCAGTCCAAAAATGACGTCACGCACCTAGGGGGAGGGGGGGAGGGGTCAGACATTTGTGACGATGTGTGACGAGGGGGGTGTGGGGGGTGGGTGTTTGAGAAATGTGACGTCACATCAAAATGCGCAACTTTATAAATAAATATAGACGACACGTTCTACTTAATTAAATAGACTTGTTCATACATGTTTTTCTCCTGCAACATCAGAGTGCAGCGGCACATTAAATACGCACTACAATAACAATCGTTTAAAGCGATTTGAAGCATGTATAGACTACTATACATTGCAATGTTATACCTTCCAATCTAAACTACATTGTATAATATCGTATACACAGCCCAATGTAAGCTCTCATAACATAGCTGTAACGCAACCCAGGACAGAGCAGCGCATCGTGGCTGTTTCTCCCCCCTCCTCCGTTCCGAGCATAGATGGACTCGTCCGTCTGAACAAAGCTCGTCGCTGTCCGTGGTGCTGACGTTGAAAATAAAAAAAACAGCCACCCTTTTTTTTCCGACGTAGAATTGTAATGTATAACGACTCATTGTTAGTAGCTCAGCTGATTGTAGAGTATATTGAGTTTATTGATAACATTGATGTAGTTTATATTTTAGGTTTTTTTTATCAGTTTACTATATGGTATTCATTATGTAGCGTAGTGTATACCCAGTTACTTTATGTTAATAGCTCAACTTATTGAAGAATTTATTGAGTACATTTATTATATTGATGTGGTTTATACTTAGTTTTTTCACATCGGTTTATTGTATGATAGTTGGGTAGTTGCAGTCCTTTAGCGTCAATATACTAAATGCCTCTGTTGATATGTAAACTCTGACTTTAACATAGCTATTTCCGTGACCAGTTACATGCTAATCCCTCACATTAACATCATGCTAATATCCCAGTTACATGCTAATTTCTGACTTTAACACCCTGCTGATCCAACACTTTAACATAGCTATTTCAATGTTAAATTCTCCTGTTGATATGTAAACTCCTTTGTCAAGGCGCTCTGCTCCTCCCACCCAGCTTAAAAGACACTGCGAATCTTAGCAGCGTTCATTGAAGCGCTTGTGTCCCGACGGTTCTGTTCCTTCACCAGAAGAAGGCCACTTGTGTTGTGGCCGAAACGTCGTGAGAATTTTATTTTATCATGTTTTGTTTTTATTATCTTATTTCCATTCTACGCGACTTTACCGAAAGAACCAATAAGACAGAACCATTTCCTTAACAACCAAACCACAACCATAACCCCATTTTAACGGGAAACGCGACCAAGTGCACGTGCATGGAACCTGGCGGCATGACGCGTTTCCTGCACCAAATCTGGACGGTACCAACTGAGGTGGTTTGGGGGGGGGGGTGGGCGAGAGCATTGCCTATTAAGCATTGTTTGCCTGTTTCAGCAAATGTTGATTTAAAACAGTAAACCAATGTTACGTATACGTGTTGTGAATATTTGCAGACCTTTGACGCAATGTCCAGGGAATCTCTTCAGTGTGAGGTTTGCTAATTTTCGTTGTTTTTTTTTTAATTTAATATGAGAGTGAGGAGGTCGGATCCATTTTCTCTCCCATGCAATTCCCTCAATATTTGTTACGAGCTTTTTTGCCCATCCAAGGACTAGTGTAAATTGCTGTAAATCTGAAATATTCAATAGAAAAATTGTTCAGCTCATGATTATTAATGAGGGAGGCGGGGGGGTGTTGTCCCATGTGCAGTGACGTCACCCGCTAATGGTTATTGTGGAGGGGTGCGGCATGTGGAGTGACGTCACACGCTCATGATTATTAATGAGGGGAGGGGTGCGGCATGTGGAGTGACGTCACCCGCTCGTGGTTATTGGGGAGGGGTGCGGCATGTGGAGTGACGTCACCCCCTCATGATTATTGTGGAGGGGTGCGGCATGTGGAGTGACGTCACCCGCTCGTGGTTATTGGGGAGGGGTGCGGCATGTGGAGTGACGTCACCCGCTCGTGGTTATTGTGGAGGGGTGCGGCATGTGGAGTGACGTCACCCCCTCATGATTATTGTGGAGGGGTGCGGCATGTGGAGTGACGTCACCCGCTAATGGTTATTGGGGAGGGGTGCGGCATGTGGAGTGACGTCAGCCCCTCATGATTATTGGGGAGGGGTGCGGCATGTGGAGTGCGCGACCTTCTTGCGCGTTAGTGTAAATTTTCACGCGAGCATGAATATTAACGAGGGGGGGGGGGGGGGGCTCTCTTTTGCAATGACGTCACGCACGGATGTAGCACTGTGCTGCGTACATTTATTTTTCACCGTCACTTGCTGTAAAGAAATGACGAATCGTGCACAACATCCCCATCGACGACCACCCTCACCCCACGCCAACCGACCTGCCCTGACTCGTGCCCCGCCCCCGGTCAAGGCCAGACTTAACATCCTGAGGGTGGGGCGTTTGGGGGATTGCCCCCCCATAACCACTCACCCCCTCTTCCTTCACGTTACCCCAGCCACCCCACGTCACTCCGGCTCGACAGTACTTGCCTTTACTGTGTCACACTCAGTATATTGTAATCCCATTAGAGACGGCGATGACCTGGGCAGGCCTTCATTCACTTGCAAGTTATATCGACACTGCACGTGACGTCATCCACCAGGTGCTGATTGAGAAATTATGTTCAGGTTTTTGTCTGCAGTGGAAAAGGTGGCAACTCTATCGCTCCTGACGAATGACGCCGCTTCCGGTGCCACTGGCGATGCGCACGACGCTGACGACGACGATGCTGCTGCTGCTGCTGCTGTCAAATCTCCCCGCCTCGCTGGCGGCCGAGGACGGCAACCCAGCGCAGTTCGGAAAGTTCCAGGACGGAGTCTACGACCGCCACCCGGCGTTGTTCTTCAGCGCGCGGGACGTGGCCGGGCTGCGGGCCTCGGCGGGCGCGTCGAGCCACGCGCACATCGCGAGCCGCCTGCGGGAGGCGGCGCTCACCATGATGGAGCGGAGAGACGACCACCTCCCGCCCTGGGATCCGCTCGAGTTCGGCGCCATCTGGAACGAGATCTACGGCAACAACCTTGCAGCCGTGGCCTTCTACAGCTTCCTGTACCCGGAGGACGCCGGAGCCAGAGACTTCACCATCGAGTACATGGACAGAATGGCCGCGCAGCCCAATTGGTGAGTTGGTGGTGGTGGTGGTTGGTGAGTTGGTGGTGGTGGGTGGTGAGTTGGTGGTGGTGGTGGTGGGTGGTGAGTTGGTGGTGGTGGCGGTGGGTGGTGCTGATGGTGGTGGTGAGTGGTGAGTTGGTGGTGGTGGTGGTAGGTGGTCAGTTGGTAGTAGTGGTGGGTGGTGAGTTGGTGGTGGTGGTGGTGGGTGGTGAGTTGGTGGTGGGTGGTGGTGAGTTGGTGGTGGGTGGTGGTGAGTTGGTGGTGGGTGGTGGTGAGTTGGTGGTGGTGGGTGGTGAGTTGGTGGTGGTGGTGGGTGGTGCTGGTGGTGGTGGTGGTGAGTTGGTGAGTTGGTGGTGATGGGTGGTGGTGGTGGTGAGTTGGTGGTGGGTGGTGGGTGGTGCTGATGGTTATTATGAGCCCTGGTTTGTTTGTTATTTGGGAGGTGGCACACAGATGGCTCGGAGGTTCTCGAGACACCCACGGTCTTGGTACAAATCTGCTGACGGGTTTCAGATGCCAGAAAGAAAGATCTGGGCTATATGGCCAGTCGTTGTGTTGTCTACTTAAATTATTTTTATAGTTAACAGTTAATTAACCCCGTAGCTCTTCTAAAATTTTACCAGTTTGGGCAGAGTGAGCCAATACTCTCTAGAGGGGGGCTCGCTCGTGCGGAGGCTCTTGCCAGGAGTGTGGCACGTGCAAATAATTACAGGGCTGTACATTTATCGTTGCGCGGTAACATTGTAATTGGAAGACGTGATGTTTTTGCAATCCCCTACTATTTTCAGGCTCGTCACGCTGTACCCCAAAGACGAGGTGCCGATCGGACACTCGCTCGCTGGGTTTGCCACGGCATACGACCTGATGTATGAACATTTGGACTCCACGCGGAGAAGCAAATACTTGGTGGCTCTCGTCAATTCCACAGAGTACATGTACAGAATGTCCTTCATACGTGGATGGGGATTCCAATATCTGCAGAACCACCAGCCGACCAACGCCGTGGCCTTACTCATGGGGGGCCTTGTCATCATGAATGATGGTGAGTCTCTTCTGCTGCTGCTGCTGCACCTGCTGGTGGCTCTGATAATTATCATCATCGCCATCATCAGGATAATGATGGCCCGGTGGCAGAGTGTGTGCCGCTTGCTGCAGAGGTTTGCGGTTCGAAGGGTGGCGACCACCCTGGTTAATACTGCGAGTGCCAGATAACGTGATGGAATTACTCACCATCTGCTTTGCTCTCAGTGTACGGAGAGAAAATTCCCTGAAATCACTGGAAACGAGCAGCGGGCCACTGATTATTGGCCTCAGGGTCCAAATTTGTCGTATTCGTACATTACCCACAAATTACTTCATTGGCAGTAAGGGACGTGATGTCAAAAACAGGTCATCATCATAGTTCTCATCAGCCACGGATGAGAGTCTAGGTGAGCCGTCACCATCTCTTCCAGTCTCATGATGCAACAATCCATCCAGCTCCTGACCGTGAGCCGATTTCATTGCTCTGCCACCGGGGAGTTGATCTCCTTTGGCTGTCACTCCATGACGTGCCTTACATCGATAAAGAAAAAGAGGCAGATGTGGATTATAAACAAATGCAGGTTACGGATGTGGGCCGGAGCAGGGCAGGATGCTCAGTGGCTTGAAGACCAGATGGGCGATGGTGAAGCCGAACAATGGAGCAGCATCTAAACGAGGGAATGCGTATGAGAGGACGTTGACTGCATTGAAATGGAGCAACGATATCGGCTCGTGTGGAGGTGCCAGATGGATCATTGCATCGTTAAGACAATGAGAGATGGTGATGACTTGGGCACGCCATCATCCAGCGGTGGATAGATCAAGGCTGCTGCAGCTGCTGACGCTACTGCTGCTGATGATAATCATCATACTGGGCAGTTTTGAAGATGATCATCATAAAACATCTCTAATCTCCTTAGACTAGCGCTGGGACATCCGATTATTTAAGTCGTGTATTACCATAATGACTATCACGTCCATGACTGGGCGATAGTCATCGGATAACTCCAAAATAGCTGTGTGGGGGGGAAGTATTACATCTTCTCCCGCATGTGCCTCTGGGCTGGAAGTTAAGTTGTGGATTTGGTGACGTCATCGGCATCGTCAGCAGCCACGTCACGTTTGGGGGCGTGGCTTGTAGGGGGTTTCCTGGCTTCAGGGAGCCAGGATGTTGGGGCGGCCGCTATTCTTAAGGTGCCCATCAAAGAGAAGCGGTTGATCACAGTTTAGAGTCGATTATTCGTTGTCCGACCAATTGTCCCAGCTTTTCCTGAAGACCTCTAAACCCCTCCCCCACCCTTCTGGTATGGAATGCAGGGTACCACAGGGAAGTGGCGGTGTGGGTTAAACAGGCCATGTCCATCATGGGGAAGTCGATGTTCATCACCAACGAGGTGACAGATGGGTCACTAAACGAAGGCGTTGCTTACGGCTCGTACCTGTCCCGATCGCTCCTCAAGTACATCTTCTTCGCCAAGCGGCACTTCAACATCAGCCACGAGGACAACATTTGGGTCAAGAAGCACTTTGACTTCTACTACAGGAGCCTCCAGCCAGGTTTGAGAGATGCATTCAGCATTACAGTAGTGGAAGATTTAACGAGGTGTATGGCTCATACTGCAGCATTCATCCAGCCTGGAGATCCATTTAGGACTATGGTAGAATATACATTTAGATCATTGCACGGTATATTATCAAGGCCAGATGTCTGATGAGCGCATTTATTAATGCTTGAGGTCTATTGGATTGTACTGGAGAGTTCAGCGACGAAAGGGCTATTTTCATCAAACCATAGCGTGCGGTCCAGTTTGAAGACCCACTGGCAGCATACTTAATTGGACTTGCCAAGCTAAGAATCCCTATTGGGAGCATGCTGAAGCAAATTCGATATGTTGTTTTCACCATATCACAAAAATGAGATCAAGAGGCACATTACCTTAAGCAGATAGAGGAGTCTGAAGGTAAATAAGAAGCGGGTTTGTGTTTCAGAAGTGCTCTTTGTGTTACTGTGTTGATAAAAGAGCTGGACCCTAACTCTTGGGATTCTGTGGCAAGACAGGGTAAAACAATGCATATTTTTTTAATTTTACCAGGTAAAGCCCACTGGCCTATAATAGCTCTTTTCAGAGGCGACCTGGGCACAAATGATGGCTCAATGTCCCAAGCGGCTTATCATCACGTGGAAATTTATAACAGCCAAATATTCGAGACACATGTTTCTAAATGTGGTGGGAAAGACCGGAGGTCCCGGAGAAAAATCCATGTTACCACGGGGAGAGCATGCAAACTACAATATGCAACAGGCATCAGGGTCAGGATGGAACCCACAAACTCCTTGCATAATAGGCGAGGTAGATAACATCTCGCCACCGTGGTTCCCAGGAGCAATGCCAAATCCCAGAATAGAATATAGATCGTCGACATTATAGGGAACTATGGTTGCACTATGTGTGACACGTGTGCATGGGGGTTGACATAGGAAGTCACTACTGCGTCAGCCCGTACGAGGACTGGGGGCCCCAAGGGGGTGCCTGGGGGGTCACGTGGTGGAGGACCCGGACCTTCCCAGAGGTGGGGGAAGGGAGGCGTGGCCTGGGCGGAGCCGGCCACGCCGGAGCGGTTATCAGCGGGGTGTGAAGGCAGAGCGGGGCTGTTCAACTCCGACGTGAAGATGACATCATCGGTCGTCAAGTCCCGGGTCATCGTCTGGGACCAGGCAGCCCGTTGCCTGCCTGGGTCACGCTGTTTAGTGTTCCAGAGTGTTAGCGAGTTGAGGAAGGTGGTCACCACCTTATGTACGGTGTTATATTACTTACCGTTCTAATAAATAGCGTTGCCTCCAAGCTGTGTGTGTGTGCACCTAATTCGAACCCACTACACATGCATGGGGGGTGGATGATTTGCAAAGTTAGACATTGGAGTGGTCGGTGTCCAGAATTCCAGAAACCAAAAGGGAAGACCTTAAAGCAGATGGTGGGAGACTGAGGGCAGATTTTGGAGGTCCCCGTGTGTTTACTTGTTGCAGTAGCCGCGAGATTTGGCAAAAGGGTAGCACGCGTCGGCGAAGTGAGGCATGGCGGCATTAACCGGCTTTGGCCACGGTCACGTCTTGATTTTTAATTTGAAACTTTTAAACTCTTTTGCTCGCTCAGGGTTCCAAAGGACCGTGGGCATTTCGGACTCGAATTACAACTGGTACTATGGCCCCGAGGCTCACCTGGTCTTCCTCGACACCTACGTCCTGCGCGACGGCAGCGGGAATTGGCTGGCGAGCATGATCAACACGTTCCGCCCCAAGAACGGCACGGGCGCTTCCTTCCGCGCTCACCGTTGGTGCACATTGCACCTGGAGTACATTTGGTGAGTTGAACCATAAACATTTGGCGAGTGATTGAGTTGGCACTGAGCGAGAGGTGCAAACCCTGAGGGGGAAGGTATTTTGTGTAACAGTGGCGTTTGGATCGGTCGACCTCTTAACCCTTGCGTCATGTCACTGAGACGCTCCCTCTCTTGCGCGCTTCCTTCGCAGGTACGACGCCACCCTGACGCCCACGCCGCCGCCGGACTACGGCACCCCGGCGCTGCACCACTTTGAGAGCTGGGGAGTCGTCACCTACGGGAGTCCTCAGCCAGCCAGGGTCAACGCCACCTTCGTCGGCTTCAAATCCGGCAAGATTGGTGGCGCAGCCGTCAATGACATCGTCCGCGAAAAGCGCTACCCAGAGTGGGTGAACGGCTGGAGAAACTTCAACCCCGGGCACGAGCACCCCGATCAGAACACCTTCATTTTCGCGCCCAACGGCGTGCCGTTCATCGTGGAGGGCCTCTACGGCCCCAAGTTCACGTGGCACAGCAACGTGCCGATGTTCAGCACGAACCCGCTGCCGGCCAGGCAGCTCTGCAAGCCGCCCTGGGTCGGGCAGATGGTGGAGGTGTGCGACTGGAATTGGGTGACGTGCGAGAAGTCGTCCGTGTGCAACTTTAACGGCCGCGTGCTGGCCGCCGCGGAGCAGAACGGGACGGTGTTCATCCGCGGAGACTCGGCGGACGCTTACGAGGCGGGGCTGGGGTTGAGCAGCCTCGTGCGCGACGTCGTGCTGCTGAACCCGCAGCTGGCGCTGGTCGTCGACCACGTCCGACTCGACGCGGGCAGCGCGGTGAGTGGGGCGGCGTCGTTCTTCCACAACCTCGACTGGAGCTTTGAGCAGGAGGAGAAGGGGATTCTGCACGGGGCGAAGATCCCGAGGCCCGACGGAGACTACTCGCTCTACTGGACGGACGATCAGAATCGAAGCCCACGGGCCCTGCTGGTGAGTGGTCTCTTCATCATCATCATCATCGTATTAATCATCAGTTGTTTTCTTCCAATTCTGTTCCGATGACATATGTGTATTAAATCGAAAGCAAAAGGCCATACGGCACGGTGTGTAGCAAAGTTTTACGTCAGCCATCGTGAAGTGCGGTCGTGTCACTACAGTTCTATGTGGTGAGTACAATGTCTTTAAAAACAGCGGCACTATGCCTCTCTAAATAAAATTAATGCTCACCGCTTGCGCGTTCCAAGTTATTCAGTGGTGAATGAGACACCAACCTTGCAACTTACAGACGCCTTCGAATGGGAAAGGGTTAAATTACTCACCAGGTCAGGGGGTGCCTTGAGAGAACTGGGAAAACCAGTGATGAGGCGATCCTCACTGCCGACGAAAGAAGATGGCTGGGCATTTGGCCACCGAGCATCCTGGGAAAAGTTGAACGTGCTTTGGTGTGGCCTGTTTGCTACGTGGCCAACCTGTCCTTGCCTGCTCTGCTCAATGCAGTTGGTGGCTGGTTGCACACAGATGACCATAAAACATTATGCCTCTTGTAAGACTAGAGTGTATAGCTCAACCAAGTTAGAAGCAAGATGCAGTCGTAGCTCCTGCAAACGAGCCGATTTATCATGTCCTCTTGGTACATAGACTCGCATAGAGGCCCATAGACTTACACAGAGATCCATAGGCTCAGATATTGGCCCATAGACTCACATAGAGTCCCAAAGACTTACATAGACGTGCAGAGACTTGCATAGAGGCCCAGAGACTCGCATGGAGGCCCATATACTTACATGGAGGCCCAAAGGCTCATAGAGAGGTGCATGTACTTACATAGTAGCCCAGATACTCACATAGAGAACAATAGACTTCGATAGCTCAAACAGCGGCCACCAATGGTGGAGTAGCGGATGCTGTGTGAGCAAGGAGCATGCCAGGATCCGTGAAGTGGAGGGAGTGGCTGCAACATTGTGGTAGAGTAGGGATGACGAGAGGCAAGACCGTTGACCTTAACTGGATGGTGTGGTTTTGGGTTTGTGTTTGGGTTCAGATTAACCCAAACCAAAACTGGAAAAGCAATCTGATTGACTGCTTAGTTGGGAAGCACCACTGAACCACACGACCTCCTCCCACTGCCATCTGGCCCGCAGGTGGACGAACCATACCCGCCGGGGTTCCAGATCAAGGGCACCCACTTCGTCCAGATCGAGTTCGGCGTCCGCAAGCCGCTCACCCGCCTGGCCTATGTCTTCCTGGGGCCGGCCATGGCTCTCGAAAGCCTGGTGATGGTGCCCAGGGAGGAGAGCGTGGACGTGGTGGTGCAGGTGAACGGTCAGACCTACACGGTGTTGCTCAACTCGCAGCTGCTGGTGGAGAGCGCCAACGCCTCCTACTGCGAGGTGACCCACAGCTCGGGGGATGCGAAGAAGACGTTCCGGGCGACGGGCAGCGCCACTGCGGGGAATGCGTCCTCCCCCGGCTACAAGGGCGACCACGTGCAGAGACTCGCAGAGAGCCTTCAGCTCCTGGACGTGGTCTTCGACAAGATCGCTGAAGGTGAGTGACCCCTTGGCGAAGTGAGGGTTGCTCAAAACGTGTGATGATGATGATGATGTTAAATTTTGATTTAAAGCTTTCGTGACTGCAGTAATTCATATTCTTAGTTTTTTCGGTAAAGTCACGTTGAAGAGAAACAACAAAATAACAAAACATATTTTTAAAACGGCACATTTATTTATTTATAAAAAAACGTTGGCGTCACGCGCAGCGATTGGCAGTTTGCCCAGGACTAGTCCATCTATTTTTTTTTTTAAATAAATTTATGCAAACCGACACACCTGATGATGACCGTTTGAGTTATGGTCGAAACGTCGTGAGAATTTTTTATTGTTTTATATATGTTTTGTTATTTTGTTGTTTCTCTTCAACGTGACTTTACCGAAAAAACTAAGAATATAAAAGATGATGATGTTGTTGTTGATGCTCGAGGGGGGAGATCGTCCGAATGGAGCTTGATGAAGGTGTGCGGTGGAACACCGTGGATGAGATTGCTCGGCGATGTTGGTAAAAGTAACGTTGTTGAGATGTTTCGTTACCCAATGTTCAATCACATGCTGGAAAGGCAGTGGCAATGTAGTGATCCGGTGCCAAATTTCACTGTGAGCTCTGTAATCCTTTACATTTTAAGATGTTTTCAACCATTTAATTAGTGTTTACATGTTGGAGGGAATTGGAGAAACCTCACGCGTGCGAGGGGGCAACACTCTATCCCATTCAAATGGAACAGATAGAAATGAGTCCACACTTGCTGTGTACCACCTTCTTCTGGCAAGCCAGGGTATATAGCATCGCGACGCCCATCGGAAGGGAGTTTCGCAATATCTGTGTGATCTACCAACCCTGGGTGTTTGATCCACCAACTCTGATTTTCTGGTAATAGTGATGCTGACGGTGGTGGTGGTGATGATAGTGACGATTGATGGTGTTGATGACGATGACGATGGGGATGATGATAGTGACGATTGATGGTGTTGATGACGATGACGATGGGGATGATGATAGTCACGATGACAATGATGTGATGATGATGATGGTGATCTAGGTGTTGGTTTTCTTTCAGATGTGGACGAGTGTGCCAACAGCATGCAGGGCTGTGAGCAGCTGTGCGTGAACACCATTGGGAGCTTCCACTGTGCCTGCAGACCGGGATTTCACCTCGACGCCAACAGCACTGCTTGCCTAGGTGTGAGCGCGTTGCCATCGTTATCGTCGTCATCATCGTCGTCATCATCGGCAAACAGCAGCTAGGATCTATCATCTGCTGGATTAAAGTTTCCTCCACCACCCCCCCCCCCCCCGAACCGGCACGACATCTCGTGGTCTCGCAGTGCACCAATTGATCTGGCTCCTGCAACACTTCCTGAAGGGGAAATATTCTTCTTTCGATTGGCCGATGTAGATGCAGAGTGTAGAGAGTCCGCCCTGTCCCTCTCCTCCCTTGCGAGGGGGACAGGTTGGCAAAAATAGACAACAAGAACAACAATAACAATAAAAAATAATGAGGTTCAGAGACGATGAGTAGGTACTGGGTGTACCTCCTCTGCGTACCTACTCGGCACGAAATCCGCCCAAATCTAAATTATCATACCTTAGGACATTTAACGTACATATTATTTTACAAACATTTTTAACGTCGAACATATATCCAAAACATACGTGGTGCCTCCTAAATTCCATACAGTCCCTGATAATGCTGCATAAACGAACCAATACATACTCCATATAAGTATTAGTAAAGATACAATTTAAAATCAAATCACATTAATATGTAAATTAGGGAAATCATATTTTACTCACAACAAACATATATAGCAATTATTCTTTCTTATACGATGTAACCTTATCTCCGAAAACACGTGTCCTAAGTCGGCCATTTTGTGCTTTCCCAATTAACAGAATAATACCAAATGTTATCCCTTGCAATAACAACTTCTATTTTCAACACCAAAACGGCCAAATCATCTTCCAACTCCATTATGTCCATTGACTCGATCAAAATAAAGAAGTTATTCACGCTCATAATCAGAATTAAGTAACTCACCACGATGCCGATTTCCCGGGCAAAAACAATACAACAAAAACACCTCGCACCTGCAATAGCGATTAGAAACAGCCTCCACGTCCTACCACCCCAACTCAATGTTCTCTGTCAGTGGGATTGAGCGACAGTGTTAAGATTCTAGACCCAATTATACGTATTTCAAATCAAATTCAATATTAAAGTCTTAATTGTGCATATCTTTATTTCCACCAATAACTCAATCAGCAGTCGGTGAACATTACAGAGTTTCTGCCAGTCGATTGACAATCATTCATCTATATGTATAAAAGGCGCCTGTTCAAAATGTTTAGCGTACTTCCCGACATGCAACAAACTTGAAATTTGCCGTGTGGGTACTTTCCAGACTGTACACCATGCAAAAATTATAAAAATAAACTTTTGTATATTTTTTCTTGGGGGGGGGAGGGGGGGTGGGCACAATAATGGATATATTTTGCACGCAAGTGGGCGGTGACGTCATATCTCTGTCATGTCACCCGCATGCGGCAGCGTGACGCAGTGTGCCTGCTGACGTCACGCAATCCCCCCCTACCCTCCGCGTAGGCAGTGTATCCCGCACAAATACGCGGCTGGTTGGGGGGGGGGGAATAGGTAACAAACTTTTAATTTGCCATGTGTTGCTAGCTCCCATACTGTACACAATGTTAAACGTATAACAATTTACTTTTGTATTTTGTGGGGGAGGGGGGGGAATGATCATGAAGTGTGTGGCGAGAATCGATATCTGGTGAGCGTTTGCGGTATCGATTAAACGGGAATAGGCCGATTCTAAAGAAATCTACAACCTTCGATTCTTTTTGCGCGATCTAAAGAATCGAATCTTGGCGCGAGCGTAAGTTCTTTTCTCCCACCGAGTGTTGGGATTTATTTTAAATTTAAATTTTATGAGGCAATGGATCAAAAAAATGTGTTTTTCAATCTGCACATGTTACGTTTTTAAGTTTTGAGAAGTTTTTCAATAAAATGTTTTGCCCCCCCCGGGGCAACGCCGGCTATTTCCCGATAGTGTAACATCAATTTAACAGTGATCTGTTATTGGAGCTAACGTGCTATTATTTTTCGATTTAAATCTTTCGTGACTGCAAGGATTCATCTTCTTTGGTTCTTTCGGTAAAGTCACCACTACGTAGAATGAGAATAAAGTAATAAATTGATAGAATAAAATAACACAATAAAATTCTGAGATATTTTTCTGATAAAAATTATGAGAATTTTATTGTTTTATTTTATCAATGTATTATTTTATTCTCATTCTACGTGGTGACTTTCTGAGAATTTTATCGCGTTATTTTATTTTATCAATTTATTATTGAGAATTTAATTGCGTTATTTTATTTTATCAATTTATTATTTTATTCTACGTGGTGACTTTACCGAATGAACCAAAGAATAACGTGCTATTATTGTTCGTGGGTGTGTGTTGCAGTATCACCGACAACGCGAGCCCCAGTGACGGCTGTGACATGGACAGCCGCCACGGACAGACAGACCACAGCCAAAGGTGACCGCCCTGCACGACAACAGGAGACACTGAGCGGTGGTGACGTCACCACCATTGCCCGTTCCAGGCTAGGTGCACTGTGAGGCCATCACGTGAAGTGTGTGGAAGGATCGCTGTTGGCAGCGGGCAGGTCACGGGGCGGACCTCGCTGCTCTGGGTTGACTGCTGTGCCAGGCTAGGTGCACGAGGTCACGGGGACAGACCCAGGTGCTGTGGGTTGACTGCTGTGCCAGGCTATGTGCACGAGGTCACGGGGACAGACCCAGGTGCTGTGGGTTGACTCCTGTGCCAGGCTAGGTGCATGAGGTCACGGGGACAGACCCAGGTGCTGTGGGTTGACTGCTGTGCCAGGCTAGGTGCATGAGGTCACAGGGCAGACCCAGGATCCTGTGGGTTGACTGATGTGCCAGGCTAGGTGCACGAGGTCACGGGGCAGACCCAGGTGTTATGGGTTGACTGCTGTGCCAGGCTAGGTGCAGGAAGTCGCGGGGCAGACCCAGCTGTTACGGGTTGACCGACTGAGATAACTGCGCGGACTCACCGCCTGCGCTAAATCCCTACTGTGCCCTGAAGAAGGGCCATTGCACGAAACGTCGCCTATTGTCAACACGCCCTGTTCTCGAATCAACGCGTGCAACTCGCACGGGAAATGTTTGCAGGGTCGGCGGTTGTGATGCTCTAACGGGACTCTGTCGCAAGGGGGCAGCACGCGCTTGGCACAAAATCATTAACAGCTTCTTTGGTTCTTTCGGTAAAGTCACCGCCACGTAGAATGAGAATAAAATAATAAATTGATAAAATAAAACAACACAAAAATATTCTCACGATGTTTCGGCCACAACACAAGCGGCCTTCATCGTCCCTTCACCTGATGAAGGCCGCGTGTGTTGTGGCCGAAACGTCGTGAGAATATTATTGTTTTATTTTATCAATTTATTATTTTATTCTCATTCTACGTGGTGACTTTACCGGAAGAACCAAAGAAGATGATTCCTTGTAGTCACGAAAGCTTTAAATCGAAACATTAACATTTTCGTTGGTTCTTTCGGTAAAGTCACGTAGAATGAGAATAAAATAATAAATTGATAAAATAAAATAACAAAATTTAATTCTCACGACGTTTCGGCCACAACCAAAGAAGATGAATCCTTGCAGTCACGAAAGCTTTAAATCGAAATCATTAACATTATTTTGAATGTTGCCAGGAATAAATTTTAGAACCTTCCCGCTAATGAGTCACGTGGGGAAGATGATATTAGATCGATTAAAAGCGCAGACTGATCGATATTTGGCGGATGAGTTTACGAAAGATAGGAAACACAGTACAGCAAATCGTAATGTTAAGGCTCATCGCAGAGAAAGCTAAGAAAGGATAGGCTGGCATAGATTCCCGGAAAGCATTCGATTCGACTTAGCAAGATGTAACGTGGGCAACATTAAGACCATGCGGAGTAAGGAAACGACCGACAGAGATTCTGCAGGATATCGGTGAACGGTCACAAACAGCAGTGAAGTGTGGGACAGGAAATGCGAGATTGGTTCCCAGCTACAATAGCCATGAATTTAGACTTGAAACTTCCGTGACCGCAGGAATTCACATTCTTGGTTCTTTCGGTAAAGTCACGTGAATAGAAAGAAGAAAAAAATCTACAAAATAAAACAAATACGGAAAAATAACAATTTTAAAAATAAATACAAATAAAAATAGTAAAATTAAATTAAAATTTTAAAAACGTAAAGGAAAAATAAATTGATCAAATATTAAAGCAAAAAGTCGGTATGAGACAAGGAGATCCACTATCACCAAACAATTTCGGCACATACTTGGGAAGAGTGACGGACGCCGTTCAGGAGGACGTCACAGGAATGTCTGTGCAAGGAGAAAGCATAAATGTGCCCAGATTCGCGGACGACGTGAATCTGATGGAAGAAAGCTGCGTCGACGTGCATGCAGAGGAAAGTGTTCATGCGCTGCATAAGTCACGGACAGGGATGCAGGACTCGGAGATGAACGTGAACAAGACGAAGACGATGGTGTTTGGAAGGGAGACCGTTGATAAAGCGGCAAGATTGTGAATTTAAATTCATTTGTGTAGTTGGGAAGTCTACTTGCACGGGACAACGACTGCACGAACGACGTATGAGCGAGGATCGCAAAGGCAAAAGGAGCAGTGGCAGGCTTCAATAACATCTGGAAGAAGCAAGCAAATCAGCTACAAGACCAAACTGAACATGTTAAGAACAAGCGCGTTCAGTAACAGCGTTGCAGCATTGTGTGCCTGCGAGACTTGCACATTGACAAAAGCCCCCGACAAAGGTTGGCATTCGATTCGCACCGCCACGGAAGGATGCCGCTGCTGCCGATGCATCTCAAGGGGTCACTGACCCCACGCTCTCTGCCTCTCCCCGCAGGGTCTGGCGCCCGCACGAGGCGACTCCCGGACCCCGTGATCCTCGTGCTCCTCACGGCGGTGGTGGCGGCGGCGGCTGCGAGATCGCTGTAGCTCAGGGGAGCTGCGATGGTGGTGATGGCGTGGGTCGGTGATGAGAGCGGTGGTGGTTTATGAATTGATTTTGATTCATGACTGGGGATGATGATGATGATGACGATGATGATGTGGATCCGGTGAGGATAATAATGATGAAGTGATGGTGATTGCGATTTGGATCCAGTAGTTTTTTTTACAGTTTATTTATTTTGGTATAGCCCTGTGAGCCATTCGGCTCTTGAATCGGGTGCAACCACAACAAACAAAAAAAACATGAACAAGGAAAACATCTTAAAGTGACTATGTGACTGTGCAAACAGAAAATCCATGAAAAAACCCAGCAAAATATTCCAGAAAAAAGCACCGTACACCAACGCTGTGTGCAAAAAATCCCAGTGGGATGCAAGTCAAACAACAACAACCACAAGAAAACTTAGATTAAGGCCGTCAGTCTAACTCCGTACTACAACAAAACAAACATGTCCAAACCAAAAAACATTTCGAAATCACCAAAAAAATAAAGCCATAATTGCAACGTAACAGTGATCATAGGGACTGACCGAATTTTTACAATAAACTACATTAATATCATGTAACACCAAATCCTAGAGCTGATGCATCTCAACGGGTCACTGATGGTGATGATGATGATGAAGTGATTATATAGATCGAGTAATCATGATAGTAATTATTATGAAGTGATGATTATATAAATCCAGTGGTTAATGATATTCATCATGATGAAGTGATGATATAGATCTCGTGATTATGACGATGAAATTATGCTATACTGTAGATCCAGTGATAATGATGGTGATGATGATTTTTTGATGATGGTGATGATATATGTACGTTCAACTTCTTTCGCAGCGTACGTAGCCAACCGTGCTAATCAGATGTGCGAAATGTTAGCCACACCACACATCATCATCTCTATCATGATAGAGATTATGATGTTTTGATGGTGATGTAGGTATGCTGATAATGATTTAAGTGGTGATGATTACACTTTGACGTATATTGGTGTGTTGTCCTTCCCCCGCACCTCCGATTAGCACGGTTGGCTACGTACAGTTCATACATACATACAAGCAATGGTTATGATAAAGTTGATCATTTATTAATGGTGTTCGCATAGAACGCTTGATAATAACTAAGCGACGGCGATGATGATGATCATCGTAATCCATTCATAATAATAATGTAAGTGACGTTGATGGTGATGATAGTAATCATGCTATAGGTACATGAGAAAATATGAAGTTACGATGATGATATAATCTCACTATAATAGTTTATCAATTACGACATTCGCTCGTCTCTTCATATGAAAACAACAATATGTTTGTTTTTTTATGCTGGAGGAATCCGATGAGCTTTAAAGCTCTCCATCACAGATGCCCAGTAGGGGCAGGTGAGACCGTGACAACGTTACGACACCAAACAGTATTTGAACGCTTCTGCGTTGCCAAACTTTATTGTCGAGAGCGCTCCCTCTCCACCACGGGGCCCTGTTGCCGAGTGTGATTATCGCCCGTGACGCTGCTGATGAGACCCAGAGAGGTCAAACTATGGTCCGGGCGAGGGTTTGCCCGCTTATCACCGACGCTGCGGTGACGATCGCGGTATTGGCCATGGGAAGCCGATTGGCCGGTGAGCTAATCCGTTGTAGATTGTCTTATTCAGTGGATGGCAGAGTGGACGTCTCATTTACGTTACCCATAGTCCACAGCAGCAGCGCTGAACGAGTCCACGTAATCTCATTGCTTCTTGACGACGGTAATGAAAATGATGATGGTGATCATTTATTGATGATGATTATCATCACCGCGATGTGAATGATGATGATAGTAATCATGATATAATGTGATGTAATTAACACTTTGATACATTGGTTTATGGTGATGTAACAGATCGGCGTAAATCACACCCAAACATACTCGCCTATACATGCAGCCACAATTACAAGGACCCCCCGTATACCCTAGTATATCTAGGCTGTTGGGGCAAGTGCTGTTAGCACACAAATGTGTGGTGTGGTCGACACCACGCCCGGCAGCCTTTGTCTCCCACATTATGTTTACACACCGTGCCAGGTACTTATTTATGTCTGAGTCGACCTAGGGGACGTCCTAAGACCGATTTAAATATTCTCCACTGTTATCATTGGCTGCAACTGTTTTTTTTTCAGTTCGGTAACCACTGCACCACCGCTCCTGCACGTGTACACATACACGCGTGTACACACACACGCGTGTACATACACACGCGTGTACACACACACGCGTGTACACACACACGCGTGTACACACACACACACACGCGTGTACACACACACACACACGCGTGTACACACACACACACGCGTGTACACACACACACACGCGTGTACACACACACACACGCGTGTACACACACACACGCGTGTACACACACATTCGCAGACACAATTAGCACAAAACATTGCACACCATTTTATTTCCATCCAATCCGAATCTCAACTGAAGCCTAGAAACATAACCGCATTCTTTAACAACACACACACACTTTTAGCAATAACGACTCGTTAAACAAATCAGCTCAATAAATAATTAAAAACTACGGTATAGAGTCAAATAATCGTGCACTGCGAGTGAGAAATGCATCTGAGAGGGCAAGGGTGGAATTGCTCGTTACACAGGAGGGCATGCATCTCGTGTTACAAAGCGTAATCCGATGTTGCCGTATTACGTTTTACACAGCCTGATGACATGACGTGGCTGAAAGCCGGCAAAACTTGACGTCGCCAGAAGCCACGTGGCACCACGAGGTACCACGTGACATCACGAGGTACCACGTGACGTCACGAGGTACCACGTGACGCCACGAGGTGCCGCGTGACATCACGAGACGCCACGTGACATCACGAGGTACCAGGTGACGCCACGAGGTACCGCGTGACGCCACGAGGTACCGCGTGACGCCACGAGGTACCACGTGCGTGCCACGTGCTGCCACGTGATGCCACGTGCTGCCGCGTGACGCCACGAGGTGCCGCGTGACGCCACGAGGTACCACGTGACGCCACGAGGTACCGCGTGACGCCACGAGGTACCGCGCGACGCCACGTGACGCCACGAGGTGCCACGTGATAAAAAAAAAAAATCAGAAAATTGCGACCGCATGCAAAGCACACCTGAGCACAATCGTTGTGCCGCCGGGTGTGGCGGTTGCACGGCGGGCTCTCCGGCCCGTGCCTCTACGCGCTGCCCCGCGTGGCGTCCCAGCACGCCGAGCGAAATGTTGGACATGGCGCGGAACGGCGCGCGGTAACGACCCGGGGGTGGAGGCGCCGGTGGTTCGCTCTCAGCGTCGACGCGTTACGGGGCAGTCGGTTTGTCGCCTGCGGACGAGCCGACAGATCGCTGGTGGCGCCTGTCGCTTGCGAGCCTCTGCCAGGTGACGCCGCTTCAAATAAATGTTTACACGTGAGCACTTTTGTAGCGCGTGATTTCAACCCACAGGCAGGCCAACATGTCTGCCGCCCCGTCCCTCTCGATGAAGGGCCACTCCCTAAAACGTCAGTTTTATATACACGTCACAAGCGGGTGCACGTCACCTGCGCGATAGAGATGGACACACACACGTCGCTCACACACACACACATCTCCCCCGTGTCGCCTGTAACAGCCTGTTGGGGCATTTTCCGTGAGTGAGGCCGGAAGGGTACACGAGGGGGTGGGTGGCCAACACCACGCCCGACCGCGTTTTTCACACACACAGACACACAGACAGACAGACAGGCACACACAGACACACATACACATACACACACAGACACACAGACAAGCACACACACAGACACACACACATACACACACGGGCACACACACAGACACACACAGACACACACAGACACACAGGACAAACAGACATACACATACACACAGACACACACACACACAGACACATACATACACCCATACACACAGACAGACATACACACAGACACACAGACAGACATACACACAGACAGACACATACACACAGACACATACAGACAGACAGACACCAGACACATACACACAGACAGAAACATACACACAAACACACAGACAGACACATACACACAGACAGACACATACACACATACACACAGGCATACATACACACAGACACACAACAACAACAACCGCCAGTCGCCACTAAGTGGCGGTGACGTCACCACGACGCTTGTGCCAGGCCATGTGCACCTTGAGGCCACGTGAAGTGTCGAACGCCCGCGGGCAGGAGGTCACGGGGCAGACCCAGGTGCCACGGGTCGACTGACTGAGATGACTGACTGATGCACCACCTGTGCCCCCTACTGTGCCAACCTGCTGTGCTCTAGCCACCCGGCGCTCCGCTCGTTGTTGTGAGCGTCAACTCCAACTGCCCAGTAGCGTCCTTCACGAGCCTCCTCCACAGAGGCCGATCTTGACACCGCTGGTACCAGTCATCGGCAAGTCCACTCAGCTCCACGTCCTCCTGTACCACATCACTCCATCTCTTCTCTAGCCCGTGCTGCGCCCGTTTAGCCCCCTCGATCCGGCCGAACAAAAGCTGTTTCGGCATGCGGTGGCTGGGCATGCGGGCTACATTACCCAGCCAACGCAGCCTTGCCTGCCGGAGGAGCTCACCGATGGGACCTTGCCCAGATCTTTCAAAGATTTGTGAGCTCCTCACACAATCCAGCCTGGTTAAACCCAGGATGGATCGTAAGCAGGCTAGTCTAAATGTTTCTAACCGGCGAAGATGTTCCATTTGGGGGGTCCACGTTTTGCAAGCGTAGAGAAAGGAGGGAATGACCGTGGCCGAGAAGAACTGAAGCTTCGTGCGGAGCGACAGACCAGGTAGCTTCCACACAGCGTTACGCAACCGATGAAAATATATTGCCGCTCCACTGATTCGGAGTGAGACCTCTGCTGTTAAACTGGAGCCGGTCATAAGCACACTGCCCAGTTATGAGAAACTCTCCACTCTCTCCACAACTGCCCCATCACCGATTGGGAGTTGTGGGGGTGGAGTGTCCGATGGTATAAAATACCCAGGCAGGTGCTTAGTTTTGGTGGGACTGATGGTAAGGCCCCATCTCTTAGTTGCACGCTCCAGTCTCAGCAGCAGCGTCTCCAACTCCTCATCTGAATGAGCAGCTATGACCAAATCATCGGCATACATAACGTGGTTGAGCAATAGGGAGCCATCCCTTGACCGCACCCGGGCATCGATCAGCCTCCCATTATATCTGTACCATATGGAGATTCCCCTGGTACAGCTATTGAAGGCTTCCTGAACTACGTGGTCAAAATAGATGTTAAATAATGTTGGAGCCAGAGGATATCCCTGTCGCACCCCAAGGTGTACAGGGAATGGCTCTGACTCCCGGCCACGTAGTTTTACCCGGGCCCGCTCACCATCATGAAGGTCCTTAATGATCGTGAGTAGAGGGTCAGGGACTCCAAAAGCACGAAGAACAACCCACAGCCCAGGCCTACTGATGGTATTATAGGCCTTGACCAGGTCAATAAAGCAGAGATGTAGGTCTTGCTGGAATTCCCTACACCTCTGCTGTAGCAGACGGACAGAAAATATGGCATCTGTGCAGGACCGCCCTTTCCTGAAACCGCATTGGGGCTCCGCAAGCCTCTCCTCAGCGTGCCTGGCAAGGCGATGTTGAATAATCCTTGCCATGACCTTTCCCGGCACACTGAGGAGTGAGATGCCCCTGTAGTTGTTACAGTCTGTGCGGTCCCCCTTCTTAAAGAGGGGGACCACCAGGGCATCATTCCAATCCTGTGGAACCCATCCAGTGGTCCAGACTGTTGTTATGATGTCATGTAGGGCAGTCTGTGCACAAACGCCACCCTCCCTCAGCATTTCGCTTGGGAGATCGTCTCTGCCCGCTGCCTTTCCTGGTCTCAGACTCCGGATCGCAGACACACACACACATACAAACAGACACACAGACATACACACACACATACACACACAGACACACACACATACACACAGACACACACAGACACACATACACACAGACACACACAGACACACAGACAGACACACACACACATACACACAGACACACATACACACAGACACAGACACACACACAAACACTCACACACACAGACGCACACAGACAGACACACATACACACAGACACACACACAGACACACATACACAGACACACACACTGACACACACACACAAACACTCACACACACAGACACACACACAAACACAGACACACACACACCCCCGTCAACCTCTCCCCACCACCTTCCCCCCACTCGGACCTTCCAACAGATAAGGGGGGCGGGCGGGCGGACAATATTCTCCGGAGCTCAGCCTTGGACAGCTCCCCCCAGGGCTGAGAGCTCCCGCCATAGCACCGAAGTCTCTCTCAGGGTGACGTCGGGCTGGAGAAGAGGAGCGGCGGGAGGACGACGACGACGAGGAGGAGGCGGAGCGAGGCGGCGGGGAAGCCGCGCGCCTCTGCGCGTCCCGAGGCCGCAGGCGCTGCACAGCACGCGGGAGAGAGAGAGGTGGCACACAGAGAGAGGTGGCACACAGAGAGAGGTGACACACACAGAGAGAGGTGACACACAGAGAGAGAGGTGACACACAGAGAGAGGTGGCACACAGAGAGAGGTGGCACACAGAGAGAGGTGGCACACACAGAGAGGTGGCACACAGAGAGAGGTGGCACACACATAGAGAGAGGTGACACACACAGAGAGAGGTGGCACACACAGAGAGGTGGCACACAGAGAGAGGTGGCACACAGAGAGAGAGGTGGCACACAGAGAGAGGTGACACACACAGAGAGAGGTGACACACAGAGAGAGAGGTGACACACAGAGAGAGGTGGCACACAGAGAGAGGTGGCACACAGAGAGAGGTGGCACACACAGAGAGGTGGCACACAGAGAGAGGTGGCACACACATAGAGAGAGGTGACACACACAGAGAGAGGTGGCACACACAGAGAGGTGGCACACAGAGAGAGGTGGCACACAGAGAGAGAGGTGGCACACAGAGAGAGGTGACACACAGAGAGAGGTGACACACAGAGAGAGGTGACACACAGAGAGAGGTGGCACACAGAGAGAGGTGACACACAGAGAGAGGTGGCACACAGAGAGAGGTGGCACACAGAGAGAGGCGGCACACACAGATAGGTGGCACACAGAGAGAGGTGGCACACACACAGAGAGAGAGGTGACACACAGAGAGAGGTGACACACAGAGAGAGGTGACACAGAGAGAGGTGACACAGAGAGAGGTGACACACAGAGAGAGGTGGCACACAGAGAGAGGTGACACACAGAGAGAGGTGGCACACAGAGAGAGGTGGCACACAGAGAGAGGTGACACAGAGAGAGAGGTGACACACACAGAGAGAGGTGACACACAGAGAGAGGTGACACACAGAGAGAGGTGACACAGAGAGAGGTGACACAGAGAGAGGTGGCACACAGAGAGAGGTGGCACACAGAGAGAGGTGACACAGAGAGAGAGGTGGCACACAGAGAGAGGTGACACACACACAGAGAGGTGGCACACAGAGAGAGGTGACACACAGAGAGAGGTGGTACACAGAGAGAGGTGACACACACAGAGAGGTGACACACAGAGAGAGGTGACACACACACAGAGAGGTGGCACACACACAGAGAGAGGTGACACAGAGAGAGGCGACACACACAGAGAGGTGACACACAGAGAGAGGTGACACACACACAGAGAGGTGACACACAGAGAGAGGTGACACACACAGAGAGAGGTGACACACACAGAGAGAGGTGGCACAGCGCTACGGGGTCGTTCATAAATGATGTCACGCGATTTTGGACGATTTTTGACCCCCCCCCCTCATCACACGGCGTCACAAAAAGTCAGACCCCCCCCCTCAAATATGACATCACAAAGCTCTGCCCCCCCCCCTCCCCCCCCAAATAAAACATGCTTCAAATCGCTTTAAACGATTGTCATTGTAGTGCGTATTTAACGTGGCGCTGCACTCTGATGTTGTAGGAGAAAACATTTATTATAACGTCTATTTAATTAAGTAGAACGTGTCGTCTATATTTATTTATTTATAAAGTTGCGAATTTTCACGTGAAGTCACATTTTCAACACCCCGCCCCCTCCCCTCGTCACACGGCGTCACAAATGTCTGACCCCCCCCCCCGCCCGCCCCCGCCTATCTGCGTGACGTCATTTACGGACGGCCCATACCTACGGACCCAGGCGGATAGGAGTTCGATTCCCGCTGACGGTCAACAGCACCGGTGGGCGATTGTGTGAACCGTTGTTTGGGCCGTCCGTATGTGGAATCCGAATGAACTGTGTGCCTGGCCACCCACCCCCTCGTGTGCCGTGCGGGCCTTCATCGGTGCTGCTGCCGCTGCCGACGCTGCTGCTACTCGCTAACAGCACTCGTTCCCCAGCAGTCTGCTGAGGCTATATGGGGGAGCTTTGTCTTTGTGTCCGCGTGGACACCGGAGGAGACACGAGATCGATTCCCACTCGCGGCTCACATCAGAACCGGCCCTGGGCCTCCGCTAGGGTCGACCCAGCCTCGTGTGAGTACCTGGTGCGGTCAACGTCACCCGATCTCGGCCCCGTCCTGGAGCTCACCGAGGGTCGACTCAGAATCGCAGGCGAATAGCCGGTGCGATGACGTGTGGACGTGGCGACGGGGGAGGCAAAGGCGGCCTGGGGCGTGCTGCTGGCCAGCCACCCCCTCGTGCCGGCCTTCGTAGCCGCCGCCGCCGCCGCTACTCGCGAACAGCGCTCGCAACAGCGGGCGGTGAAGGCCGCACGGACGTCTCGCGACTCACGCACCTCTAAAACGCCGCGTTTGGGTCAAATTGAGTCGTGGATAAGATGATCACCGCAATGCCGATGGTCACGACGTAGACCGTCACGATGTTGATCATCACGACATTGATCATCACGACATTGATCATCACGACATCGATCGTCACGACATTGATCGTCACGACATTGATCGTCACGACATTGATCATCACGACATTGATCATCACGACATTGATCATCACGACGTTGATCGTCACGACGTAGACCGTCACGACATTGATCATCACGACATTGATCGTCACGACATTGATCGTCACGACATTGATCATCACGACGTTGATCATCACGACGTTGATCGTCACGACGTAGACCGTCACGACATTGATCATCACGACATTGATCGTCACGACATTGATCATCACGACATTGATCGTCACGACATTGATCGTCACGACATTGATCATCACGACGTTGATCATCACGACATTGATCGTCACGACATTGATCGTCACGACGTAGATCGTCACGACATTGATCATCACGACATTGATCGTCACGACATTGATCGTCACGACGTTGATCGTCACGACATTGATCATCACGACATTGATCGTCACGACGTTGATCATCACGACGTTGATCGTCACGACATTGATCGTCACGACGTAGATCGTCACGACATTGATCATCACGACATTGATCGTCACGACATTGATCGTCACGACATTGATCATCACGACATCGATCGTCACGGCGTTGATCGTCACGACATTGATCATCACGACATCGATCGTCACGACATTGATCTCACGACATTGATCGTCACGACATTGATCGTCATGACGTTGATCATCACGACGTTGATTGTCACGACATTGATCGTCACGACATTGATCATCACCACATCGATCGTCACCATAATCGATCAGTCACGATACCACGTTGAGCCCCAGTAACCGCCTTTGATCCCTCATTTGGCAATTGTTCCTGTGCCGATTGCTCTTCCCCCTCTTCGCCGCTGCGCGCTGACGCCGCGTGCCCGGTGCTGCGTGTTTGTGGACCTCGTCCCAGCGGAGCGAGCCATGACAACGAGCCATGACAACGAGCCGTGACAACGAGCCGTGACAACGAGCCATGACAACGAGCCATGACAACGAGCCGTGACAACGAGCCATGACAACGAGCCATGACAACGAGCCGTGACAACGAGCCGTGACAACGAGCCGTGACAACGAGCCGTGACAGCGAGCCATGACAACGAGCCATGACAGAGAGCCATGACAACGAGCCGTGACAACGAGCCGTGACAGCGAGCCGTGACAACGAGCCATGACAGCGAGCCATGACAGAGAGCCATGACAGCGAGCCTTGACAACGAGCCGTGACAACGAGCCGTGACAACGAGCCATGACAACGAGCCATGACAACGAGCAATGACAACGAGCCGTGACAGCGAGCCGTGACAACGAGCCATGACAGCGAGCCATGACAACGAGCCATGACAACGAGCCATGACAACGAGCCGTGACAACGAGCCATGACAACGAGCCGTGACAACGAGCCATGACAGCGAGCCATGACAACGAGCCGTGACAACGAGCCGTGACAGCGAGCCATGACAACGAGCCATGACAACGAGCCATGACAACGAGCCGTGACAACGAGCCATGACAACGAGCCGTGACAACGAGCCATGACAACGAGCCATGACAACGAGCCATGACAACGAGCCGTGACAACGAGCCATGACAACGAGCCATGACAACGAGCCATGACAACGAGCCGTGACAACGAGCCATGACAACGAGCCATGACAACGAGCCGTGACAACGAGCCGTGACAGCGAGCCGGACCAGGCCACGTGGTTGCGGCTCACCGAGAGTCGTGGAGCTCACGGGGCTCGCTGCGGTCGCGTTCAGCGGCACGAAGACGACGGCTCGGACTGCGGCACAGAGAGAGAGAGGGGGGGGGAGGGAGAAGAGAGAGGGAGGGGGAGAGAGGGAGGGGAGGAGAGAGAGAGGGGGGGAGAGAGAGGGAGAGAGAGGGGGAGGGAGAGGGGGGGAGAGAGGGGGGGGAGAGAGGGGGGGAGAGAAGGAGGAGAGAGAGGGGGGGGGGAGAGGGGGGGGAGAGAGGGGGGAGAGAGAAGGGGAGAAAGGGAGGAGAGAGAGGGGGGAGAGGGGGGAGGAGAGGGGGGGAGAGAGGGGGGGAGAGAGGGAGGGGGGGGAGAAAGAGAGAGAGGGAGCGGGGAGGGAGAAAGAGAGGTGAAAAGAGTGAGAGACGGAGAGCAGAGGACCCGGTTATGGTGATGAACAGCGCTGCTGCTGCTGTTCATAGCGCCGGTGATAGGGGTGGTGACAACGATCGTGATATTGGCCATGATGGTGAGCACGGGTGGCTACGCACGGTGCGAAAGACGATCAACATACATACACGGTCATTGGAATGAAGATTTTCGATTTAAAGCTTTCGTGACTGCAAGGATTCATCTTCTTTGGTTCTTTCGGTGAAGTCACGATGATGACAATGATGATGTCGATGGTGATATCGATGATGATGATGATGGTGTCGATGATGATGATGATGGTGTCGATGATGATGGTGTCGATGATGATGATGGTGTCGATGATAATGATGGTGTCGATGATGATGATGGTGTCGATGATGATGATGTTGATGATGGTGTCGATGATGATGATGATGATGGTGTCGATGATGATGATGATGTCGATGATGATGATGATGTCGATGATGATGATGTCGATGATGATGATGGTGTCGATGATGATGATAGTGTCGATGATGATGATGGTGTCGATGAGGGTTTCTCGCACCTGCGCACTCCTGGTTGTCGGTGCTCAGACAGAGCCCCTCGGACTGGCATCTGCACAAGAAGCCTCCTCCTGCTTCACCGGGGGTCGCGTTCTTACACCATAGCGCATCGCCTACGGCACTCGCTGGCACGCCACAGACAGAGAGAGATAGAGAGCTTAGAGGGCGAGGAGGGGAACAGCGACGAGGAGGAGGTGGTGGTGGTGGTGGTGGTGGTGGCGGCGGCGGCGGTGGTGGCGGTGGTGGCGGTGGTGGTGGTGGTGGTGGTGGTGGCGGTGGTAGTGGTGGTAATGGAGACGGTTCATGAGGAATTGGAGGAAGTGGAGGAGGTTGAGAATTAATTGCAAAATGAGGAAGACGAATTGGAGGCGGTGCAGGATGAGCAATGACAGAGATAGGAGGATGAGGAGGACGATTGTGGATGATGACGAGGAGCAGGGGATGAGGAAGGTTTTAAAACGAGAAGCATTGGTATGGAGATTTAGGAGGAGAGAGAGAGAATTTGATTGACAAGAGCAAAGCCCAACCTCACCGTGAAGACTATCACATCGCTACAAGCACACCGAGCCCGACATCGGAATTCACGCCGATGGACCTCCACACCTTCGCCAACCTCCGTTCGGAGGATCTCCCCCCTCGAGCATCATCAACAACAACAACAACAACATCATCATCATCACCACGTTGTGAGCAACCCTCACTTCGCCAAAGGGGTCACTCACCTTCAGCGACCTTGCCGAAGACCACGTCCAGGAGCTGAAGGCTCTCTGCGAGTCTCTGCACGTGGTCGCCCTTGTAGCCGGGGGAGGAAGCATTCCCCGCAGTGGCGCTGCCCGTCGCCCGGAACGTCTTCTTCGCATCCCCCGAGCTGTGGGTCACCTCGCAGTAGGAGGCGTTGGCGCTCTCCACCAGCAGCTGCGAGTTGAGCAACACCGTGTAGGTCTGACCGTTCACCTGCACCACCACGTCCACGCTCTCCTCCCTGGGCACCATCACCAGGCCGTCGAGGGCCATGGCCGGCCCCAGGAAGACATAGGCCAGGCGGGTGAGCGGCTTGCGGACGCCGAACTCGATCTGGACGTAGTGGGTGCCCTTGATCTGGAACCCCGGCTGGCATGGCTCGTCCACCTGGTGCGGGCGAGATGGTCGGCGGGGGAAGTCAGCCGGGACGCCTCGCGCAGAGCGTTGAGGTCGCTTCGGCACCCGAGCGATCCGTTGAGCAAGCTGGGTCGCGAGCAAGCTGGGTCGCGAGCAGCTCGGTTGAGTGAACCTCTTGTGTGTGTGTGGGCATCTCGTTATGGTGACTCGTCACGATGACTCATTACGATGACACGTGACGATGACTCGTTACGATGACTCGTTACGATGAGACATGACGATCACTCGTTACAATGACTCGTTACGATGACTCGTTACAATGACACGTGACGATCACTCGTTACAATGACTCGTTACGATGACTCATGATGACGACTCGTTACGACGACTCGTTACGACGACTCGTTACGATGACTCGTTACGATGACTCGTTACAATGACTCGTTACGATGACTCGTTACAATGACTCGTTACGATGACTCGTGACGATGACTCGTTACAATGACTCGTCACGGTGACTCGTTACGACGACTCGTTACGATGACTCATTACGATGACTCGTTATGATGACTCGTTACGATGACTCGTTACGATGACTCGTTACAATGACTCTTTACGATGACTCGTGATGACGACTCGTTACGATGACTCGTGATGACGACTCGTTACGATGACTCGTCACCGTGACTCGTTGCGACGACTCATTACGATGACTCGTCACGATGACTCGTTACGATGACTCGTTACGATGACTCGTTACGATAACTCGTTACGATGACTCGTTACAATGACTCGTTACGATGACTCGTGATGACGACTCGTTACGATGACTCGTTACGATGACTCGTGATGACTCGTGACGATGACTCGTTACGATGACTCGTGATGACTCGTTACGATGACTCATTACGACGACTCGTGACGATGACTCGTTACAATGACTCGTTACGATAACTCGTTACAATGACTCGTTACGATGACACGTGACGATCACTCGTTACAATGACTCGTGACGATGACTCGTTACGATGACTCGTTACGATGACTCGTTACGATGACTCGTGATGACGACTCGTGATGACGACTCGTTACGATGACTCGTTACGATGACTCGTTAAGGTGACTCGTTACGATGACTCGTTACGATGACTCGTGATGACGACTCGTTACGATGACTCGTTACGATGACTCGTTACGATGACTCGTTACGACGACTCGTTACAATGACTCGTTACGATGACTCGTTACGATGACTCGTTACGACGACTCGTTACGATGACTCGTTAAGGTGACTCGTTAAGGTGACTCGTTACGATGACTCGTTACGATGACTCGTGATGACGACTCGTTACGATGACTCGTTACGATGACTCGTCACGATGACTCGTTATGATGACTCGTTACGATGACTCGTTACGATGACTCGTTACGATGACTCGTTACGATGACTCGTGATGACGACTCGTGATGATGACTCGTTACGATGACTCGTTACGATGACGCGTTACGATGACTCGTGATGACGACTCGTGATGATGACTCGTTACGATGACTCGTTAAGGTGACTCGTGACGATGACTCGTTACGATGACTCGTGATGACGACTCGTTACGATGACTCGTTACGATGACTCGTTACGATGACTCGTTACGACGACTCGTTACAATGACTCGTTACGATGACTCGTTACGATGACTCGTTAAGGTGACTCGTTAAGGTGACTCGTTACGATGACTCGTTACGATGACTCGTTATGATGACTCGTTACGATGACTCGTTACGATGACTCGTTACGATGACTCGTTAAGGTGACTCGTTAAGGTGACTCGTTACGATGACTCGTTACGATGACTCGTGATGACGACTCGTTACGATGACTCGTTACGATGACTCATTACGATGACTCATTACGATGACTCGTCACAAACATCCGCAGGTGAAATCACCCCGGCTGGGGAAGCATCTTCTTAGCGAGAATCCCTTACCTGTGTTTGGGCCTTCGGTAAAACAAATCCCAACAGCCAAGGGTGAATTTTTTATCAAAGTTATCGTCTACTGGTCGATGTGTAAACGTCGTGTTTCTTGGGAAACGGTGTGTTTTACCACGGGCACCTCTTACGACTCATCTTCAGCACTCTTTGTTGATTCCTTATTCAGCTCAAAACGTTTAAAAGCAACATTTTAGGCTTGAAAAATTACATCATTTCTTATCGGCTTTTTTTTTATTCATTCGAATTATCTATTCATGTTTCTCTGTCACGTCTGTCATTGAAACGGTGTGCAGTTTTTATTGATGGAACCCCGACTTCAGAGACTGCTTAGCTCACAGGGCACTTAAAACATTTAACTGAAACTGCCAAGATCTTGCCTGCAACTTGTTGCGTGCAATGTTTGATGGTAACCTGTGCGCAACTAGGCCCATGTGATCGTGACTGTCATCGGCATCAGTATCGATCCGCTGCTGGCTGAAGGACCTGCCCAATCCACCACCGTCGATTACCGTCTTGCGACGGAACGGTCCTTCCGGCTCCTGCACTCTACGATGGTGACGATGCCATTGGCGAAGAGACCACTCACCAGCAGGGCCCGTGGGCTTCGATTCTGATCGTCCGTCCAGTAGAGCGAGTAGTCTCCGTCGGGCCTCGGGATCTTCGCCCCGTGCAGAATCCCCTTCTCCTCCTGCTCAAAGCTCCAGTCGAGGTTGTGGAAGAACGACGCCGCCCCACTCACCGCGCTGCCCGCGTCGAGTCGGACGTGGTCGACGACCAGCGCCAGCTGCGGGTTCAGCAGCACGACGTCGCGCACGAGGCTGCTCAACCCCAGCCCCGCCTCGTAAGCGTCCGCCGAGTCTCCGCGGACGAACACCGTCCCGTCCCGCTCCGCGGCGGCCAGCAAGCGGCCGTCGCGGCGCGGGTCGGAAGGCGAGCGCGGCCCCTCCGGTTCGCACCACTCCGGCGTCTGGCCGACCCAGGGCGGCTTGCAGGGCCGCGAGGCCGGCGCCGGCGGGTCCGCCCGGAACATCGGCACGTTGCCGTGCCACGTGAACCCGCCGCCGCAGCCCTCCACGACGAACGGCACGCCGTTGGGCGCGAAGACGAAGGCGTTCTGATCGGGGCGCTCGCGCCCGTTGCCGAACTTCGTGCGGCCGCCGGCCACCCACTCCGGGTAGCGCCGTCCGCGGACGGTGTCGCCGACGGCGGCCGCGCCGCCGAGCTTGCCCGACTTGAAGCCGACGAAGGTGGCGTTGGGCCCGGCCGGCTGAGGGCTCCCGTAGGTGACGACGCCCCAGTTGTCGAAGCGGTGCAGCGCCGGGGTGCCGTAGTCCGGCGGCGGCGTGGGGGTCAGGGTGGCGTCGTACCTGGGAAGGAAGCGCGCAAGGGAAAGAGATTGGGGGGTGGGGGTGGGGGCGTGAGCATCTCGGTGATGCCGATGGTTGAAAAAAATTGTTAAAGAAGTAAAAAAAAAGTGTTAAGAGGTCGAGAAAAATGGTTGAGGTTCTTTTGTATCGTACGATACAACGATCCTTTCGTTGCCGTGAACGATGACACTGACGGAGCAAGTAGAGCTCACACGTTGCGCAACAGTCGCGGGGAACGGGAAATGCGTTCCTGAAATGCGTGACGACGAAAATCGCAAAAGCGACGCTCATCAGGGTAGCCAGGAGGTGGAGGAGGAAGGCTGAGAGGCGACGGGTCACGAGGGAGGTAGGACGATGATGACGCTGTCAGCGACGTCGGCGCGGGGCTGAGGCGACGCAAAATCGGGTCGTAGTAGCGGTGTGCATCGAGTGACATCGTGAAAGTGTCGAGACGTAAAGTGGTGGTGTCGTTGTGGCCTTCTTCCTCATGCCAGCCCCCAAGCAATGGTTGTCAGGTTTTCAAGGGTGACACTCAGTCGGCATCACCACCTCCGCCAAACAAATACAAAAATCCACCGTGTAGCCTGGAGCAGATTGTTGGGGCAAGTGCTGTTAGCGAGCACACGAGGTGGTGGGTGGCCGGCACCACGCCCGACCGCCTTTGTCGGCCCCCGGTGACAATGTTTACACACCGCACCAGGCACCCATTTTGATGCTGAGTCAACCTAGGGGAGGCGCAGGAACAGTTTAGGTGATCGTCACCGGTGTTGGCCGTGAGCAGGAATCGAACCCGGGTCGCCGGGTTTGTAGCGCAGCACACTTAATGCTACACTGCCACTCCCCACCACCAGCACCCCACCACCACCACCACCACCCCACCACCACCCTACCACCACCACCCCACCACACCACCACTACCACCACCACCCCACCACCACCACCCCACCACCACCACCACCCCACCACCACCCCACCACTACCACCCCACCACCACCACTACCACCACCACCCTACCACCACCCTACCACCACCCCACCACCACCCCACCACCACCACCCAACCACCACCCTACCACCACCCAACCACCACCCTACCACCACCCAACCACCACCCTACCACCACCCCACCACCACCACCACCCTACCACCACCCCACCACCACCACCACCCCACCACCACCCCACCACCACCACCCAACCACCACCCTACCACCACCCCACCACCACCCCACCACCACCACCACCACCCCACCACCACCCCACCACCACCCCACCACCACCCCACCACCACAACCCCACCACCACCCCACCACCACCACCACCCCACCACCACCCCACCACCACTTCCATCTCCACCAACATTCGGCGTCAAGTTTTGCCATCGATCTCCGGCCTCTGGGTGCCGCTCCAACGCCCGTGACCCCGCACACGCGGTGCCACCCAGGACAGGGTCGAAGTTGCCGACCCTGTCCCTGTCAACGCCTCGAGCGCCCCGCTAGTGCACTCACTCGTCAGTGTGATCACTCACTCGTCAGTGTGATCACTCATTCGTCAGTGTGATCACTCACTCGTCAGTGTGATCACTCACTCGTCAGACGTGATCACTCACTCGCCAGAGGTGATCACTCACTCGCCAGACGTGATCACTCACTCGCCAGACGTGATCACCCACTCGCCAGATGTGATCACTCACTCGCCAGATGTGATCACTCACTCGCCAGATGTGATCACTCACTCGCCAGATGTGATCACTCACTCGCCAGATGTGATCACTCACTCGCCAGATGTGATCACTCACTCGCCAGATGTGATTACTCACTCGCCAGACGTGATCACCCACTCGCCAGACGTGATCACTCAATCGCCAGATGTGATCACTCACTCGCCAGATGTGATCCCTCACTCGCCAGTGTGATCACACACTCGCCAGACGTGATCCCTCACTCGCCAGACGTGATCACTCACTCGCCAGATGTGATCACTCACTCGCCAGATGTGATCCCTCACTCGCCAGACGTGATCACTCACTCGCCAGATGTGATCACTCACTCGCCAGATGTGATCACTCACTCGCCAGACGTGATCACTCACTCGCCAGACGTGATCCCTCACTCTCCAGACGTGATCACTCACTCGCCAGACGTGATCACTCACTCGCCAGACGTGATCACTCACTCGCCAGACGTGATCACACACTCGCCAGACGTGATCACTCACTCGCCAGATGTGATCACTCACTCGCCAGACGTGATCACTCACTCGCCAGATGTGATCACTCACTCGCCAGATGTGATCACTCGCCAGACGTGATCACTCACTCGCCAGACGTGATCCCTCGCCAGACGTGATCACTCACTCGTCAGACGTGATCACTCACTCGTCAGACGTGATCCCTCACTCGCGAGACAGACTCACCAGGTGTTCCCTCTCACTCACCAGATGTACTCCAGGTGCAGGGTGCTCCATCGCCTGGTGCGCGTGGGAGCGCCCGTGCCATTCTTGGGGCGGAACGTGTTGATCATGCTCGCCAGCCAGTTGCCACTGCCGTTGCGCAGGACGTAGGTGTCCAGGAAGGCCAGGTGAGCCTCTGGGCCGTAGTACCAGTTGAGCTCCGAGTCATCAATCCCAATAGTCCTTTGGAAACCTTGGAGGGTGGAGGCGGATTCACGCGGATGAACGCAAGGACGTTAGGATCCGTTGATGGATAAGGGTTTGCACGTGTACAGTGGCGCCTGCTTAGCCCTTTCCCAATCCCATGACGTGCGCGTACGCCGTCAGATTCTCTTCCCATTCCATTCCGATGATGTACAAGGCCACGTGGTGAGGGCGTGCCGCACATTTCGGCGCCAGCCATTGTAGAGTGTGGTCCCGTCGCTGCAGTTATCTGCGGCGAGCAACAATGTCTCTAAAAACAGCAGCGCTACGCCTCTCTAACTAAAATCAACGCAGAGTCACGTGCGCATTGTGAGTTATTCAGCAGTGACCAGGACCCCCCCCCCCCCACCCTGAACCTTCAGACGTCTCGGAACGGCAAAGCGTTAAATGCCTCGGCAAAACTCAACGCACCTTCACGCAACATCTCACGTCTCAATAATTGCCATGTCCTGCTGCAGTCCAGGCAAATGGACCTAGCTATCACCTAGGCTGATTCTCGGGCACAGTCCCAGTGGTCCTCTGACCACGGCGAATGCCCCCACTATGATCCAATGGGCCACCAGCATTCGTGAATACTCCCGCACAATCTCAACGGATATCTGACATTGCTGCATCGTTAAAGCCACTATGTCAATGGACTTCTCAACTTGGTTGATCTTCGGGTTTGGGCCTATTGTCCTTCATCCCCGCACCTCCGATTAGCGCGGTCGGCTACGCACGGTGCGAAAGAAGTTTACAATGCAACACATTGTATCATTGTCGTCTTTTCCCCCATTAGCGCGGTCGGCTACGCACGGTATGAAAGAAGTTCACAATGCAACATATTGTATCATTGTCGTCTTTTCCCCCATTAGCGCAGTTGGCTACGCACGGTGCGAAAGAAGTTTACAATGCAACATATTGTATCATTGTCGTCTTTTCCCCCATTAGCGCAGTTGGCTACGCACGGTGCGAAAGAAGTTTACAATGCAACACATTGTATCATTGTCGTCTTTTCCCCCATTAGCGCGGTCGGCTACGCACGGTATGAAAGAAGTTCACAATGCAACACATTGCATCATTGTCGTCTTTTCCCCCATTAGCGCAGTTGGCTATGCACGGTATGAAAGAAGTTTAAAATGCAACACATTGTATCATTGTCGTCTTTACCCCCATTAGCGCGGTCGGCTAGGCACGGCACGAAAGAAGTCCCACGGGCACGAACATCGGACAATCCGAATCCGGACGAATTCCTCCGGCGCGCTCCCGGCGCAAGCCCTTAGCCGGATCTCCGAACGCGACGGCGCCCCCGCCCCCGCCCCTGCCCCCCCCCCCCCCCCGAGGACGAGGCCCTTCCTCTCACCTGGCTGGAGGCTCCTGTAGAAGAAGTCAAAGTGCCCACGGAGCCACGCGTTGTCCCCGTGGCTGACGTTGAAGTGCCGCTTGGCGAGGAAGACGAACTGCAGGAGGGCGCGGCCCTCGGCGGTGCCCGCAGCGACGCCCTCGCCCATCGACCCGTCAGCCACCTCGCCCAGCATGATCAGGGACTTCTCCAAGATGTTCACGGCCGTCTTTATCCAGTCCGGGGCCTCGTGGCCGTGAACTCCTGAGAGAGAGAGAGGAGAGAGAGGGAGACGGAGAGTCTGCGCTCCTTTAACGGGTGGTAGGGGAGGAGGAGGAATGGGGAAAGCTTCACCCCCGCACCTCCGATTAGCACGGTTGGCTACGTACGGTGAGAGCGAAGTTCACCGCACAAAGACAAAGGTCCCCCGTGTAGCCCCAACAGGCTGTTGGGGCAAGTGCTGTCAGCGAGCAGCACCTATGAAGGCCGTCACGGCACACGAGGAAGTGGGTGGCCAACACCGCGCCCGGCCGCCTTTGTCTCCCCAGTGGCGATGTTTAACACACCGCACCAGGTACTCATTTGAGGCTGAGTCGACCTAAGGGATGCCCTGAACGGGTCCCGATTATAGCCGCCACTGGTGCTGGTTGCCGTGAGCCGTATTCGCAAGCGCAATGCGCTAACCACTGCGCCACCACTCCCCACGCCACACACGCACGCGTTCAAGAACACGAACACCTCGCATCCATCACCCCCGCCCGCCCGCTCCCCCCTCAACATGGAGTGGCGTGCTGTACGCGGCCGGCCGCTTGGAGCGTGCGGGCCCATTGGGCGCATTGCTCGGCAAAAAAAAAAACCAAAAACCGCGCGGCAAAAAATTCAAAGGAACGAAAAAAAAAATCTCAAGCTCGTGGACGCACCATCGCGGAAGAGAACCAGCCCCGCAGTCATCATCGCCACGGCCTGGGTCGAAGAGTCGCGGCTGCCCAGGCAGCAGGCGTCGGCGCTGACGGATGAAGAAAGATTCCTCGCGGCCGCCGCTATGGTCTCGGCGTATTTGCACCGCCTCCCCGGGTCCAGCCCCTCGTGCGCGAGGTCGTACGCGGTGGCGAAGGCGGCCAGCGAGTAGGCGACGAGCACCGGCTGGTTCGGCAGAGCAACCGCCACCCTGCGGGAGGGGGCGAAGCAGTGAAAGCGGCCACCGCTGAAGTGGATGTCACGGAGCTAGGACGGGGCGTTTGGTTTCCTTGGTTCTTTCGGTAAGGTCACGTAGAATGAGAATAAAATGATAAAGTGACACAGTAAAATTCTCACGACGTTTCGGCCACAGCGCAGGCGGCCGTCTTCAGGTGAAAGGTACAGACCTGTCGGGACGACAGAGCTTCAATGAACGCTGTTACGATTCGTAGCGACTTTTAAGCTGGTTGGGAGAAGTGAGGCACCTTGACAAAGGGGGTTTACATATCAATAGCTGAGGGATTAGCTTGTGACTGGTCACGGAAATGGCTATGTTAAAGTCAAAACCTACACATCCACAGAGGCAACTAGTAATTTAGCATTGAAATAGCTAAGGGATTAGCTTGTGACTGGTCACAGACATAGATGTTAAAGTAAAGGCCTACACATCCACAGAGCTTCAATGAACGCTGTTAAGATTCGTAGCGACTTTTAAGCTGGTTGGGAGAGGTGAGGCACCTTGAAAAAGTGGGTTCACATATCAAATAGCTGAAGGATTAGCTTGTGACTGGTCACAGAAATGGCTATGTTAAAGTCCTAACCTACACATCCACAGAGGCAACTAGTAATTTAGCATTGAAATAACTAAGGGATTAGCTTGTGCAAATAGCTGAGGGATTAGCTTGTGACTGGTCACAGAAATGGCTATGTTAAAGTCAAAACCTACACATCCACAGAGGCAACTAGTAATTTAGCATTGAAATAGCTAAGGGATTAGCTTGTGACTGGTCACAGACATAGATGTTAAAGTAAAGGCCTACACATCCACAGAGCTTCAATAAACGCTGTTAAGATTCGTAGCGACTTTTAAGCTGGTTGGGAGAGGTGAGGCACCTTGAAAAAGTGGGTTCACATATCAAATAGCTGAGGGATTAGCTTGTGACTGGTCACAGAAATGGCTATGTTAAAGTCCTAACCTACACATCCACAGAGGCAACTAGTAATTTAGCATTGAAATAACTAAGGGATTAGCTTGTGCAAATAGCTGAGGGATTAGCTTGTGACTGGTCACAGAAATGGCTATGTTAAAGTCAAAACCTACACATCCACAGAGGCAACTAGTAATTTAGCATTGAAATAGCTGAGGGATTAGCTTGTGACTGGTCACAGAAATAGATGTTAAATTAAAGGCCTACACATCCACAGAGCTTCAATGAACGCTGTTAAGATTCGTAGCGACTTTTAAGCTGGTTGGTAGAGGTGAGGCACCTTGACAAAGGAGGTTTACATATCAAATAGCTGAGGGATTAGCTTGTGACTGGTCACGGAAATGGCTATGTTAAATCGAAAGTTGTTGTTGTTGTCTGCTGTTGTTGTTGTTGCGCTTGTTGTCAAGTTGCGTGTTGGCCACACAAGGGGGTTGAGTTTGTCTGACCCGCAGGTGACAGAGAGAGAGAGAGCGGGGAGGGGGGAGCCAGAGTGGGTCTCATTTGCAAGAGTGAGTGAAAAGAAGAGTTAAGCATGTGATGCATGTACGCTGGATTTCTTTCACACAGTGCGGAGCGAACCGTGCGAATCGGAGTTGCCGCGACGGAGGACAACAAACTGAACACAATCTAGATTTTAAAAGTGCAGAGCTCCCAGCGGCTTCCTGGATGTGTGTGAATGTGGGCAGCAGTAGCGCGAGGGTTAGTTTGTGTTTCTCACATGGCCATACTTCACCACGCTGGTCAATGCGGGTTGTGTGTGTAAGGGGGGGGGTGGCGTGTTATTACACGGATGGGGAGCGGTGGTGTAGTGGTTAGCGCTACGCTGCGCTATGAACCCACGCGACCCGAGTTCGATTCCTGCTCACGGCCAAACCCAGTGATGAGTATCTGAAATGGTTTCTGTGCCTCGCCCAGGTCAACTCAGCCTCAAATGCGGTGGTGCGCCGTGTATTTTACACCAAGGCCTTCAGCGCTATCCTCCCGCAATTAAACCACCTTTGAATAACCTCACCGTGACACTAGTGTTACAGGCTGTTGCCATTCGACGTAACCACCCCGCATTCACAGTGACAGTGGAATGAAGTTATTTTACACGAGGCTCAACACCTACGAGAGTTACAATACACTCATTGCAGAGACGTGAATACATGGTGACTGAAACCATCAAGGATGTACCACTTTTACGCAGTACGGCAGGATGCTGCATCACAAATAGACATTGCATAGCCCAAATCGATGTCATTACCAAAACAACAAGAACAAACTCACAGCAACCAGGCACATTTACTCATACGACCACCAAGCAAGCAAAAATGCCTTGAAACACAAATAACACAATCAGGTTATAGGAATAGGTTTTACCCTTTTAACTGGCACTGACACCTTTATTCAAGGCATCATGCTTGCAATAACCACAACACAAGCAGGCAAAATGCAAACAAAAAAGACAACTCTGATAATAATATGCACTGTCCTTGAATTTAATTTGTCCACACCCGAGACATGATGCCTTGAATAAAGGTGTCAGTTTTTGTGCCAGTTAAAAGGGTAAAACCTATTACTATATCTTGTTACTGGCAAAGGAGGTCTCATAACACAATCAGGATTCAACAGGCTTCCCCCCAAAAAAACTAAAAATCTAAAGCACGACATCTAAAAATCTAAACGTCACGAAAGAAAGTAAAAAAAATCTTAGATGATGCTACGTTACATGCTAGCGAGTTTACTTCAGTTAGCTAACTGGCCCTCTGATCACGCCACACGAAAAATGCTGACGTAGGCGTCTAGGCCAGCTAGAAGGCTCCGGTGTGTCAAAGAACACGCCTACCGTGGCAAACTCGACATCTGATTGGTTAAAGAATATGACAATCAACAACATCGTCCCTATTTGCTTCAACAGCAGAGGGGATTCACTCGACATTCTGAAGGCCTCAGGGTAGATTTTTCACCCAGAGAGGCGCAGACAGTGCAACTGAGGGAGAGAGTAGCAATGAAATGACGTTAATAGACATGGGAACGAACTTGGTAAAATGCATACAGCATTCATTGAAAAAAATATTAAATTATAAAAATACAACTTTCTGATTCTGACAATCTCTAGGCCAGCAGAGAAGGCCTTGCTGGCCCTGACGGCCCCACCTCTGCTCAAATGAGTACCTGGTGCGACGTGTAAACATCGCAACTGGGGTGACAAAGGCGGCTGGGCGTGGTGCTGGCCGACCATCACCTTGGGAGGGTGGCGAGGGAGTGATGTCCAATTCACAACCACATCTCTGAGTTTTATTTATAATTATCAGAGGTGAAATGTAACCAAATTCAGCGCCGAACCAAGTTGAACGTGGTCACAGGTTTTATTGTGGGCAGTCATTGGTGACTGGGCTGAGAACCATAGACTCACACAGAGATCCATAGACTCACACAGAGATCCATAGACTCACACAGAGAACCATCGACTCACACAGATATCCATAGACTCACACAGAGATCCATAGACTCACACAGAGGCCCATAGACTCACACAGAAACCCATAGACTCACACAGAGAACCATAGACTCACAGAGACCCATAGACTCACATAGAGAACCATCGACTCGCACAGAGACCCATAGACTCACACAGAGGCCCATAGAGTCACACAGAGACCCATAGACTCACACAGAGACCCATAGACTCACATAGAGAACCATCGACTCACACAAAGACCCATAGACTAACACAGAGGCCCATGGACCCACACAGAGACCCATAGACTCACATAGAGAACCATCGACTCACAGAGAGACCCATAGACTCACACAGAGACCCATAGACGCACGCAGAGAACCATCGACTCACACAGAGATCCATAGACTCACACAGAGACCCATAGACTCACATAGAAACCCATAGACTCACACAGAGGCCCATAGACTCACACAAAGATCCATAGACTCACACAGAGGCCCATAGACTCACACATAACCCATAGACTCACACAGAGAACCATCGACTCACACAGAGATCCATAGATTCACACAGAGGTCCATAGACTCACACAGAGACCCATAGACTCACATAGAGAACCATCGACTCACACAGAGACCCATAGACTCACACAGAGGCCCATAGACTCACACAGAGACCCATAGACTCACACAGAGACCCATAGACTCACATAGAGAACCATCGACTCACACAGAGACCCATAGACTCACATAGAGGCCCATAGACCCACACAGAGACCCATAGACTCACATAGAGAACCATCGACTCACACAGAGACCCATAGACTCACACAGAGACCCATAGACGCACACAGAGGCCCATAGACTCACACAGAGATCCATAGACTCACACAGAGATCCATAGACTCACACAGAGGCCCATAGACTCACAGAGATCCATAGACTCACATAGAGAACCATCGACTCACACAGAGACCCATAGACTCACACAGAGATCCATAGACTCACACATAGACCCATAGACTCACACAGAGATCCATCGACTCACACAGTGATCCATAGACTCACACAGAGACCCATAGACTCACACAGAAACCCATAGACTCACATAGAGAACCATGGACTCACACAGAGACCCATAGACTCACACAGAGGCCCATAGACTCACACAGAGACCAAGAGACTCACACAGAGACCCATAGACTCACGCAGAGGCCCATAGACTCACACAGAGACCCATCAGCTCGCACAGAGACCAATGGGCTTATGACGCTAGAGAATCCTACGTTCACACAGAGACCCATCGCCTCACTGCACTTGAGTTACCATAGACTCACACAGAGACCCATAGACTCACACAAAGACCCATAGACTCACACAGAGGCCTATAGACTCACACAGAGACCCATAGACTCACATGGAGAACCATCAACTCACGCAGAGACCCATAGACTAACACAGAGACCCATAGACTCACACAGAGGCCCATAGACTCACACAGAGACCCATAGATTCACACAGAGGCCCATAGACTCACATAGAGGCCCATAGACTCACA